GATTGTAAATAACGATCACAATCTTAGTTTTGTGATTCATTGAATGGAATTAAATCTAGAAATTTTTTCACATTTCATAGAAAGCGAACGTTTGTTGAGGAAGCGTTATTATTTATTCATGGGAAGAAAGTTAAAAAATACTCATATTTTGTCACATATAATTTCGATAATACCAATTACATATGGATTTTTTGAAATTTTTATCAAACAATTTATTCAGAAAATTCCAATTTCAATTTCAGATATGCAACATTCAAAATCGAAATTTTGTTACATAAATTCCTGTACATTTCCAACAGTATTGAATACTTGAGTGGGGAATATCGATCACTTAAATATTGTTACGTACCTGAAAGTGTGATCTAATCGAGATTTTATCAATAAATCAAACCCGCTCTCTCATAAAATAAAATAAAAGGAACTTGCCAATCTAAATATTCACGAAGGATTTTTTTTCATTATTCTTGGATTCGACGTCAGCATCGATTAATGGATCGACCTGCCGACGTCAATCAAATACAGCTGCTTGTATTGCGCAATGGGGATCGGTTCCCACCCTAATTGAACTCATTACCACAAACTCCCTATCATTTCGTAATGACAATTATACGAGCGGTATTTGTTATGTCCGGCCCCATCGAATTTTCACAGTGACAACTTTCTTCTTGCGTGAGGTAACCCGATGAAGCCTCGCATGCACTCAATGTTGAGGCTTCGTTTTAGTACACAAGAGCACGTCTATGTGAATAAAGTGTTGATAGCGATTTTCATCGATTAATTGACCAAAGTATTCTTTAGATCATTTTTGTTGTGGCAATATTGACTCAATTCGTGGTGCAATGCTGGGGAATTCCTCGTGACATTTCAAGTGAAAAATCTTACTGTTTTTAATAACGAATACTTTACGTAAAATTTTGGAATATTCTATGAAACTCGAATTTTCAGGTCATGACAGTGAAAATTGTGGAAATTCTGACAGTTATTGTTCTGAATTCTCAATTTGTTGGAAATGCAATTGAATGTGATATTCAATTTTCACAATGAATTTGGAGATTTATAATTTTTGTTGAATTGACAAGATGAATAAGAAATTTCATGAAGTGTCATTTTTCTTCAATTTCATAACTGTTTTAGTTTGTAAAGAAAATCAGCAACTGGTCATAAAATCAATAATCTGATGTATTTCGATTGAAAATAAAAATTAACTTCTCTTTTTTTCGTTCTTTAAATGAACAAAAATGTGGAAATTTCTTCTCATTTAATAGAAACGGGCCGTTTGTTGAGGAAGTTATTCACTCATTATTTATTCACGGAAACAATTTAAAAAGACCAGATATATTGTAAAATATAATTGGTTTTTTAAATTTGTTTTCAAATTTTTCTCACCAAATTTATTCAGAAAATTCAACTTGCCGACGTTGAAACTCCAAATTTTGTCACCCTCGAATTTCTGGAAAATCCAACAGTGTAGAATATTCAAGTGCTAAATATCCACTGACAACCGGAATAAGCAGAAAGGGTGAACCGGTGAGCCAGAGCATTGACTTTGAATCCCAATGACTAATCGGGCTTTCCATTTCTAACGATTACGTAAAAATTATCCACCCACACGTACATAACCACCTACCCAATTGGCAATTGGCCTATCCCATCCGGCGCTCGGGATTAAACGATGGATCAATTGGCTTTCGCCGTTGAACCCTCGAGTGCATAAAATTGTGAAGGTCCTCCTCCTTTTCCCAATGAAGTGAAACGAGAGAACCCTTTCCGGGGTTCTTTCACTTCACTTGCGTGAACGGTTTTTTCGGCTGGCTTGGAAAGTTACCAGGCGAGTATTATGTACCACTCTAAATCACCTGTCTACTATTTTCCACGCGATGTGGCACCACAGATCAGCACAACTGATTGTTATCCATTCATATTAAACGACTAAAAAATTTCCCTTTTTTGTAATTTCGTAATTATATTCAACTGTAACCGTTCCATTTTGAAATACACTTATGACTCGATGATCATCATAAAAATCAGAGTCCATTAAAAAATTGCATAATGCATTTTGCAAACGTGATGTATTTCTTCGATATAAATGGAGGAAGAACTCAGAAAAATGCCAAAGATTTTTTTCCTTTGATAAATTACACAATTGATTATTTAATATTTATTATTCATGATCGTTTAATTGAAAAATATATTTTCCCTTGCGTTAATATAGTAAAGCCAAAGTTTATTATAGAAAATTCATAATGCATTTCGTGGATGTTTTTCACTCCAGAGCATAAACTTTGGTTTTCTTTGGTTTTTTTTACTTTGAATATTTGACTTCAATAATTTCATTAAGAAATCCTTTTCCACTTGTGTGTGATGATAATAAAAACAAAGAGGTAATTAAAATATTGCGTAACGCATTCTCCGGATGAGATTTATTTTAACGAAGATATTTAAATCAAAAGAGAAATGCGAGCAATATATTACTTCAGTCAACAAATTACACAATTTATTACCGAGAAATGAAATTAATTACGACAGGGGTAGTACAACTGATTAATATTCTTTCACATCACACCGGAAAATAAATTTTTAGTTTCTTCAGTCTTTCCTAATTTTGAATATTCGATTTCAAGCATTTCATGAAAAAATTATTTTTCTGTCTGTGCGATTATAAAAAACATTATATCCATTATAAAAATTACATAATATATTCTGTCAATAGGATTTACATTGATGGAGGGTTTTTAAATCAGAAATACCAGAAATATTTTAATTAGATCAACAAATTATACAATTTATTACTGGCAAATGGAATTGAAATGAACGTGAACCGAATTGAATGTGACTGTGATACTACAACTAATTCTTTAATAATCCTTCAATAATTCCAATATAATATAAATATAATTTAACATTCAACTGCAATCATTTACTTCAAAAATACATTTTTCATCCGTCTGATTATAATAAAACCCATTTAAAAAATTGCACAACGCATTCAGCGAATGGGATTTATTTTAATGGAGTTGTTTAAATCAAAAGAGAAATACCAGAAATATATTATTTCAGTCGACAAATTACACAATTTACTACCGAAATCTGGAATTGAATGTAACTGGGGTAGTCCTTGATCCTTTCCACTGACGTTTAAATCCGTGAGCGGCATTAAACGCGATTAAAAAAGGTATCGTACGGATGCGGGAATAACTGGAATGTGCGTTGGACGTGCGGACCGCTGGAAACAACAAAAAACGGTTGAAGCGAGTTGTTGCACAATGCAGCAGATTCGCGATCATTGTGAGCCTTCTTGAATAATGGGCGATTACTCAAATCACTGGAAAATCACGTTATGCTTGCGTGGAACATCCATTGTGAAAGACGACTGAAAAAAAAGTGTAATAAGGTCAATTTATCGCCAACGAGTTCTGTCCATTCGTAATTACTCATTTAATATGAATTACAAAGTAACTGTATCGAGCACATGACACACTCCCTTAACATCTATTGAATGCCCGCCTGTTGATCCTGGGATATGAAAGTGTGAATGCCGCTGGAGAAGAGACTGACAAAAACCGAGGGTCAATTATTCAATTTTTTTACACCGCTTGCTTTCAATAATACACCTCTCATTACCACGTTACCTGCCTTTAAAAGGCGTCGTAAATCGAAAGTTCTTGAATATGAGCGTGAAGAGATTTATGTCTTTATTAGCTTATTTGAATTTTATTACTTTGTTGGACCGTAATTCGGAAAAATCTGTGAGAGGAAGGGAAAAAAGGAAAATCTATTTTTACGTTTTTCATTTTATTGGTGAACACAGGTTATTAATGCATTATTTGAAGTCGGAAGAAAGTATTTCTTCAATTATGGTAGATGATAAAATAATGAAATTTAGATTCAGTAATGATTGACGAAGAATTCAATAACTATGGAGACTTATTAAATTATGGAAAAAATGAAAAAACTGTTGCTTAAATTTTTAAGATAGAAAAAATTGATGACAAATCAATTTTTCAAAGTTATGACAAATTGCTTCTCCAGCTATTAAAACCAAGACGACGATAGTGAAATTTAATTTCAGGTGTGAATAGCAAACAAATGAATAATCGTCGAACGTAAAAATAATATTTTCACAATTCTTTGGTAAATGAGTTTTGTTAATGAATACAAATAACTGATGAATTATTTAAAGTGAGAGGAAAGTATCTTTTCAATTCTTGAGGATGCTAAATTTATTTTACCATTTCTTCAAATAAATAAAAACCCTTCCAACAGAAAAACACTCCAGATTCTCCAGCGATAATAAATAATTCCTAAGTACATCGCGAGTGACAAAAACTCGTCTCCAGCTCCTGAAGCAAAGCCCGACTCGTCAGATCCACAAATCCTCCCCTACCCTGACCCGCCAGGGCATTCTTAAAGGCTGATCATCTCCAGCAGCCTCCAGAAAACAATCAATTAATCAATACTTTCTCAATCCTCAACTATCAAAAAAGAAAAATCATGTTTTCTCAAATTGTCAATTCCTAAAATTCCACTAATGAATACAAATACTAACCGAATTATTTGCAGTGATAATAAATGATTTCTTCAACAATTAAAACCAATGAAATGATGAATAATCCACAGTAAACGAACAGCCACCAGACTTAAAGAAATATTTTCCCAATTCAGTAGCGAAGTGGTAAAAGGAGATAAGTGTTCCTAATATTATTATTACCATTTGAAAATTAATATTTCACTGTGATTCACGCAAAAAAAAATTATTATTTTCAAAATGCCCTTATCTCCTTATACCACTTCGCTACTGAATTCCTCAAATAAACAGAAACCCTTCCCCTCCAGATTCTCCACCGATAATAAATAATTCCCAAGTACACCGCAAGCGACAAAAACCCGTCACCAGCTCCTGAAACAAAGCGCGACTCACATCCACAAATCCTCCCCTACCCTGACCCGCCAGGGCATTCTTAAAGGCGTAGCATTTCCAGCAGCCTCCACTCATCTCCCTCGATCCGCTCCGACAGCTCCCAGGTACAATCCCCAATTAGCGGCCCACCGACATTCATCCTCGCCATCCCCCCACCTCGCCAAACAAATAAAACCCATCTGAATAACCCACAATCCCATCTACCATGTCATCGATAACTGAAAGAACTCCGAAGGGGAGGCGTCAGCCCTCGCCTTTTGTCAGTAAAAAACTTATCCTTCAGATCCACTCATTCGGAATTGCAGAAAAGGAGTTGAGGCGCGTGTGCGACGTGCTCCTTCCCCAATCACGCTCACTGGGTTTTTCAAGATACCATCGGGGTCTCCACAGCCACTCTGGCCACAAACGAGTCTCGCACCTCGACAGGCACGCATCGAACTCTCCTGAACTCTCGCACTAGTGACTTTATTCAAGTGACACTCGGTAAACTCTAGTAAGTGATAGACATTTATTTCCACTGCCCTAAAAATTCCACTCATCAACGCACAATCGCAAGAGTCACCGCCTCAGTTCACGCGAATAAATAAATTGAAGCCACGATTTTTCGAAATTCTCTAGATGTGATTGAAATTATTGTCAACAGGAAATTCTTAGAATATTAATATCGATATTAAGATGAAACTGTCTCTGGTATTGTGTGCGCTCGTGCTCCTGGGATTCGCCGGCTGCAGTCCGATTGTGAAGAGGGAGACCAATGAGATAAGTCCCATTAACGAGGTGAGTTGATGATTAATTGTCATTCGTGTCGTTGAGATGAGTGATTTTAATTTATGGTAAATTCATTTTAATTTCTTTGATCATCGAGAGAGGAACCCGGGAGTGTGTTCGAGTCGAGAGTGAAAGTACCCGGGCTGCATTGGGGCCCAGTCCTTTCAGACTCGACGAGACACGTTTCTCGTCTCCGGGTTTTTAAATGTCCACGTGGTTTACTTTAACAACAATGAGAATAGTTGTACATCGAGTGGCATTTGCGGTGACACTTCGGCCGATTACACTCACACATTTCGCCGCTATTTCGCGATTTATATTTGATGAATGAATTATTCATTTTGTAATCGAATATCGTGGAATTATTTCTGATAAATCGTGTGGAGGTGAATAAAAAGGATCTTTGGAATTGCGTAAAATTATTTCACCGGAGGCCTCGGGCCATCGCGAGACGATTTATCTTTCCAATAGAGAGGAATTAAAAATAGTGAATGGCTATTATTCGTGTCAAGGCAGGTGTTCTTTATCAATGGAACGCATTGGATGAAAAACGAAAGAGGAGTATTGAATCAACATTTGTTTATTTGGGTTTCTAAATTGTTCAGGCGATATCACGGGTGCCATTGGGGATCTCATGAATTATTTTGAACGTGTCCACGGGGTTTTACGTCACTTGGGTTCCATTGCAGTTGCATCAGTGCATTTTCGAGTCAAATAACATTTTTTTATGAATTTTTGGATTAAAAATCATTGAGTGTGCGAGAGAATTCGGGGGAATTTTTCTTCTCAATTTGAGATTATTTTTCCACAGGTTCTGGTGCTTGAGGAGCAGGGGGATGCGGCCGATGACGAGCATGGGGACAGGGAGAAACGGAAAATTGGAATTGTCAAGCTGGGAGTCACCAATGGAATCATTGGTTTTGTCTTCGGAGTGAGTGAATAATTTCTGAAGATTTTAACCGTGAAATTATTCGCTCAGTCGTTTGTTGGGTGCAAGTTGTATTTTTACATTGTGAATAATGAATTGGAAAAATTTGAATGATTGTTAACAATTCAGTGGGCTCTTTGGGCATAAAAAACGTAACTTGAGTCAATTACCTCGGACTTTCTAAGCAATCATATTACCAAGCAGGACGCGTTCAAACTGAGCCAATATTTCGTAACATCTTGGATTCTTCTTCGGAACTTTCAATCTCTTTTAACCCAAAACACATGCAGTCGGACCCTAGACTGTGGGAATATTAGAATTGAAATGTCAAGTGAAAGAATTTTACGATTTAAATGACCACTCATTTGCATGAAATTTCCATGTGTGTTGTCGCTTTCTGAAATTTTCATTGAAATTTAATTTTCAGGGGTATATGTCGACGAAAATGATTGGAAATCGGGAAATTCAGATAATTGTTGTTCTGAATTCTCAATCTATTAATTGTTCAATAGAAATTAATGTTCAGTTACTGAAATGAATTTGGAAATTCTAGACGTCAATGGAAAACCCGCTTTTGTTGAATTTTTAAAATGAATAAGAAAAATTCTAAACGCTGAAAATTCAAATGCAGCTTTTACATAAATTCCAAAAATATCCCACAGTATACAACTGTAGCTCATTATTGGTTTAATTTTTAATTGTCTATTACCGGACACTTTTCGGTTAAAATTTTTTTTTTTTTCATTTGGTTTACTTGCCGTTGCATATTTTATTCCTAATGCTTATTCTTCTTTCTGAGGTGTTCCCTCGTGGTCACCGCTCCACTTATTGATCTCGCTCAGCTAAATTTAGCTCTCCAAACCGAAGCCTGCCCACCAACGCACTGTCCTAACTCCCGCGGGCTGTTTATTTGATACTAAAAAATTAGCTCGAAAAACAAAAAATTTAATTTTCGATGAAAAATCCATTTTTGTTGAATTTTTAAAACGAATAAGAAAAATTCTAAACATTGAAAATTCAGATGCAGCTATTACATAAATTAGAAAAATATCTAACAGTATCCACCTGTTTAATAATCATTTGATCAATTTTTAATTTTCTATTACCGTATAACTTTCGGTATTTAACGATGCTTTTCTTCTTATTTAGTTTACTTTCCGTTGAGTTTTTTATTTCCAATGCTCACTCCCTGTCCGAGGTGTTCCTTCGTGGTCAGTACTCCGCACTATCCTAACCCCCGAGGACTGTTTAATAAATACTAAGAAATTTGTTCTAAAACCAAAAAAATTTATTTTCTACGAAAAATCGGATTGTGTTGAATTTTTTTAACGAATAAGAAAAATTCTAAACATTCAAAATTCCGATGCAGGTCTTATATCAATTCCAAAAATATCTCACAGCATCGATCTGTTTAATAATCATTCGATCAAATTTTAATTTTCGATTACCGTAAAACTTTTGGTTTTTAGATATGTTTTTTCTTCCATCTATTTCATTTTTCTTTGCGTTTTTCATCACCAATGCCCATTCCTCTTTCCGAGGTGTTCCCGCGTGGTCACCACTCCACTTAGTAACCCCGCACAGCGCTAGCCCCTCAGGGCTGTTCTATAAATACTAAAAAACCTGTTTTAGAAACTTGACTCATTCCTGGACGCCAAAACGAAAGCCCTAACGGTGCTGGACGAGTCCAACAAAGCCAAGAACGCAATTTACGGTATTGATAATACACAGTCGGCAACAGGTGCTTTCGTCAGCGATATCTTGGGAAAGAAGGTACAGGCCGCCAGTGCTGGCATCGGCCCACTGATCAACAGTGCGACAACGTTCGTTTCTTCTGCTGCACAGGGAATTGTTGGGGCTGTTGCACAGAAGGTTGCACCTCTTAGTTCGATTGTTGGAGGTCTTTCAGGAGGTATTTGAGAGAAAAAAACAATAAGAAAAATTACCAGAAACCATTACTTCAATTTATTTTTATCTCTAAAACATCTTATGATCTTCAAATTAACTTACAACGGTAAAGACAGACATGAACATTAACAAATTGTATTTATCTACAAAGAAACAAAATTTTAGTCAATTCAGGAGTGAAATGGTCCCTCCATGAATATTTAAGAACTTCGAATGGATCCGTTTGCTCAATTTATTTTTTATTTCCAAAAAATCTTTCACAATTTTTTAAAAGAAATTCCGCTGTTTAAAAATTTGATCTTTAAGTGAAATTGATTTATTTTCTTCATCACTTCGTTAATAAATTAATAAAAAATGATTAGTAATTCCATAATTTAATAATGAATCAAAGATATTTAAATATTAAGAGGAATTGAGAATAGTAGAAACGCAGCATAATTTTCCAAATGCATTGAAAACTCGAAAAAAGACGTTTTAAATTTTTTAATAAACTTTTTTAGGCTCAGGATCATCAGGAGGATCAGGTGGTGAAGGAGGTGGTTCAGCCGGAGGTGCGCTAAGTATTCTCACCAGTTTGAGCGGCAGTAGTGGAAGTCTAAGCGGTGGCAATAACGATGACGATATAAAGCCAAGTGGTGGTGCTGGTGCGGGAATAAATCTCGGGGCATTCGCCAATTTGGGTGGCGGCGGTGGGGTAGGATATTGAGACCATAATGCGTAGAGACAATACGTCACTATGGAATACCGATTATCAGGATTGATGAGTCGTTGATTAGTGAGCTCCTCCCCCTTGTTACGAGTTTGTGCTTTTTGTATTGCTGAGAAAATTATTTTTCTAGATTTTAAGAACCCAGCGGTGTGTAGATATCCCAGTAGATTTGAGATTGTAATTACTAGATTTATCCGGATATTTTGATTTGGGAAGTAGAATTAATCTCGTTGGCAAGTGGAATAAGAAAATCATTCTCTCTTTTCTTATTTTTATGAAATCGATAGTGATTTTCTCATTCCACTGAAATAGTGATTGACGTGTAGTTATTGACGATTTGACGTATTTTTGGCTTCTTTATACTAGTATACGAACGAAATAATTTCATAGAAAAACATCGTGAATTCGATAGAAAATTCTATTGGCTTTTTATTAAACTTTTTACTAGTTGCGCATTTTTTTAAATAGAAATGCTCAATGGAAAATATTCTATCAAAAAAACTATAGAATTTAATGTTTTTTCTGTAACTTATTTTATTGAGAATTTTATTTGATTTTTTTAATGAAAAGAGATGAAAAATGGAGTAGAAACAACTTACAAAATTCACAGATGAAAATCAACTGATATTTTCTATAAAATAGATCGTGTTGCACATAAAACTGTGGAATTCCAAAGATCCAATCCAATATTCTACGAAATTCACTAGTTTTTTCTACGATATTTTTTCGTGCGTGTAATGAGTCCATCTGAGCACGAGGTGTCTCTAACGTTTTGCGGGTAAATAGTTATAAAATAATGAGCTTTGGAGCCGCCTCGAGCTTGCCATCGAGTTCCAGAAGAGACCATCAGCAGCAGTCCCCCTAAATTATTCTCTTCTCTTTTATTTCTAGCCCTGAACATTCATCCCATCTACTGAGTGCGACTTTAAAAACTCTCCTTGCTCAATTCTGCCTTCACTCCCTCCACCGAGCTATTACCCCTCACTTCAATTGTAATTACCATTACACTTTAATTGTACCTCCGAAGTATTCTTCTGACTCACTCTATTTTTGTACTTGTGGAGCTTACCTGCACTTCTGGGCTCACGATTTCACTGTGTATATGATGTAAATAGGTTTTTTTGTGCACAAAAAAACGACAGATGCAGATTATGATTTTTAAACGATGGATGTGTTGTTTTATAATTAAAAATGTTTCGATCAATGTTTTTAAATAAATTTTAGGCGACTCCGGTGAGTCCGAAAAAAAATATGAAATTGTTTCGTCATTTATTATGGAATGGTGTTGAATATATCGCAGAAATCCTTTCCCTGAATCCTTCAAGGCCTCCACTTGCACTATTAGTTTAATGATAAGTCTAGTCTAGTGGTGATTACGTCGATGGTGAAAATGAATGATTTTCTTGCGCACAAATTTCGCTATTTCATTTGCGTTCATCGAATACAATGGTTCATGTCATAATATCACTGTTTCTTGCTCATTCGAGGGGGAGGAATTCACACATTTCGCAATACCATGTCATGATTTTGTTTAGGGCAGGGATTATGTGAATTAAATATTTTTGGTGAATTATTGAACTTCGCAGATACGAACGACTACTGAGGAGGACATTCCAGAGTTCGATAGGAATAAAGTCTCCCTGGATGTACCTCCACAGGCTTTCGGCGCTGGATTCACTGTTATCACGGGTATCAGTAGAGCTGTGGGAAAAATCATACAAGTGAGTGGAGGATTGCCTCTTTACATTGACATTTCTCGTACTGAATTGCGATGAGACACTTTTCTTGCTTCTAGAACTCTGCGAAACGCACGGAGCAAGTGTTTGAAGTCTTCAAGCCTCTCTTCAGAGGCGTATTTGCGATCAAAGGGCTTCCCTCGGACAGAGCATAACGAAAATAGGGATAAATTAATTCTAGTGAGTGCTCAGGGACGGTCTCGACTGTCTCGGTAATATTTTTTACCTTACGGAGGACGTGGGACCGCCACGGGGAGAACCAATGACGCGGGCAGGGATCAACTAAGTTATTTAGTTTATGAATAATCAAATTGAGTAATGTGGTGCCATGGGAATTCGTCCTCTATTGCTCATTCCAACGTACCTTTTGTTGTTATTTATGTCATTTGTTTTTTGTATTTTTAAAAGTCTGCGGTTAATCAAAATGAATAAAGTTAATTGAATAAATCAAACGAAGAATTTTACGTTATTTATTTTAGGAGAAACAATGCATGGGGAAGCTTTTTTAATAATTGAAGATTTTAAGCAAAAATTCACAACAATACCACAATTTTTACTAAAGTCATTGCATCTTCTACTAGAAGCATTAACAAAATCGTGAATGCCCGAATAGTAGTCTGTGAAATGCACGGAGCAAATGTTTGACGTCTTCAAGTCTCTCTTCAAAGGCGTATTTGCGATTAAAGGGCTTCCCTCGGACAGAACATAACGAAAATCCTAGGGATAAACTAATTCTAGTTATTTATGTCGTTTTTTTTTGTATTTTTAAAAGTCTGCGGTTAATCAAAATGAATAAAGTTAATTGAATAAATCAAATGAAAAATTTTGTTTGTTTTTTATTCTAGGAGAAAACAATGCATGATAAAACTTTTTCAAAGAATATGCATGAATTTGAATAATTAAAGATTTTAAGCAAACTTTACTTGAAATAATGGAATTTTTCCCCAATTTCTCGAAAAATATGCTAATTTTTATTAAATTGAACTGAGAATTCTTTTATTTTATTTATTCTCTGATGAAAGTGTGTATGAGAAAAATATTTCAGAAATTATGCCTAAAGTTTATTAATTTCATAAAAATTCAAATTTCAATGTAATTTTGACTAGAGTTATTGCACTTTCTGCCAGAAGTTTTGAAAAAAATCGTGAGTGTCAATATTTTCTTTCCATTCCGAATTTATCCAAAAAAAGATTCTTTCAAACAAAACCCTCATAAAACACTTTTTGCAGTCAAGACAATTTCCAATAAAAAATGTATTCCCCTATTTCCATCTAAAATCACTCATTACCTAGATAATCTACCATCTGAATGCGCGAAAAATGAAGTGGTTCTCCCACAATTTCCCGTCTCCCCGGTATTGTGCTTAAATTCTTTTTTGTTATCAATAAAACATTTTAAACCGCAGTAATGCGTAATTGTGCCGCCATCTGTGCATTCCCAAGCCGATTAGTGCATGATCTTTCAAACGTGAAAGAGGGAAAGAAAGGTGTTCATGGAAAAGCGGAGCAGTTGTGCCCGACGGAGTGTCGAGTGTGCGCAGAGATGGAGCCGGAAATTACCTAAAGAAGAAAGCATTCAAACTGCATCAAGGTACCGAAAAAAAAACAACCAAATAACTGCAACCTGTCAATCACTTGACCCAATTCGAACCCCGTGCAATTAACACATTATGTCACATTATTTTTTATTCCTTCTCTTTTTTGTCCCAAGGACGAAGAGATCGTGCAGGTCACGGGTGGGGGCCCATTGCCGAGTAAATACCGCTGTTTGGGGCCATTTCGTAAAGAATAATTTTGAGGAGGAAAAATGTCGCCGACCTTGAGGGCCAACACGATACCCAGGGTTTGTGCCGGCTCATCTCCGTAGTATCGGTCCAACTGCCTTCCAAGATGCACTTGGACTCTGTCGCGTGTCGCTGGCATTAAGTTATTCCCAGAAAATTTGAATAATTGGTACTTTGGTTTTTTACTCGGTGAACTTAAGAGGGATTTTATTCTGCTCGTATTTAGCGAGTGGTCTGGAGGCTGGTTTATCACTCCCTTCGCGGCTTTCGAGGTGTTTATTTTAGTTGAGGTAAGAATTGTAAGGCAAAGGCAAGGTAATTTTGGAATAAATCATAGATAATAGAAGGAAATTGATTTTTTTGTGCAGATAAATTACAAGTTCAAATGGAAATTGGAATAATTGATTAGAAAATATTGAATTATCTTAATTAATAATGAAGTTCACTTGGGATTTCTCTCGAATGTTGAGTTATTTAATGTTATTATTCGTTCAAATCACCAAATTTTAAATTCACAAGTTGAAAGATGAATTTAAAGATATCCAAGTGCTTCGGCTATTTTTTCTTTAATAAAATGCTCTTGTACCTTCGTAGTCAAACATTAGAGCTTTCATGTGGGCCCCTTTGACCCCAAGTTTTCGGACATTTCAGGATGATTTTATTATTTAAATTTTGCAGGTCTGAGTTTGAATCGCGATATTGAATGGTTAGCGGCCTTTTTTGTAATCTGGAAAAAATAGAAAGTTTACTTGCGGAAGAAGATTAATAAAATAATTTAAAATTACAATTTTTGAAAATCACGAGCATTTTCTCTGAATTTTAGTTGAGGTAAAAATTGTAGTGTGGTCGTTGAAAAATGATTTTTTTTACTGTTGAAATTTTAATTGCAAAAATAATGGAGCGGAATTGATTTTTTGTTATCCACATAATTCACAAGTCAAAATATAAATTTATATAGTTGATTAGAAACGATTGAATTATCTTAATTAAAAACATAGTTCCCTTTGGATTTTTCTCCGAATGTTAAATTATCGTGAGCATTTTGTACAAATAATTTATAAACAATCCATTTTCAACCATAAAAATCATTTGTTTGGAATCGTAACGAATTTATTCATATTCAGAATTTTACTGGAAATTGATTTCATGTCTTAAAAATAATAATTTTGTGCAAAATTTAATTTGGGAGGAATGAAATTTACTTCATAACGAATGATTCCAGGGATAAATATGAAGATTGTTCTCGCTGGGGACTTAGTCGGACAAGTTTGCATGACATTTTCCTCCAAGACAACTCGTTTCAGACATAATTCCCCAATTACCAAAAATAACGAATTCAATTCATTATTTTCTAACGTTATTCATCCAATTTATCAAGAATAAAGCAAGAATAATGAAGTCAAATCGCTTTTTTCATTGTCAAAATTTACAAGCCGAAATAAAACCTGAAATAATTAATTGAAAAAGGTTAAATTATCTTAAAAACCACTCGCTTTAGAGATAAACCTACAATTAATGGAATATTAGATTATTCTGTCATTAGTTATTCAATTTATCAAATTTTAAATTATGCCGGTCAGTGAGATTACAATCGAAAGTCAAGAGAATTAACTTGAACAGAGTTAGACCGTGTGGATTGCGAAGCGTTTAACCGGCATTGCATAACATTGGAACATGCTCTTACGATTTTTACGGCGAGTAAACAGAATCGACTGTCTCCGGGATTACCCATGCGCCCCAACTGTCGCATTAAACCTCGTCACGTACAGGTGTCCCTATTCTTATCCTAAAAATTCTCCAGAACGCCACTTCTCCGTAGTTCAAATATTTCTGCTGCATCTCTCATTCTTCAACAATGCTAAAATCTCACAAGTTTCACTTCTCACAACTAATTAATCCCACTGTACGGAAACGAGGAAATTCCGGGGGGGAACTGAAATTAGTGATTAGTCCGATTGAACAGTTCCTCAAAATAATTTCTGCAAATTTTTTCGAGAGAGATACAGCGTTTTATCTCAGGTGTTATACCATCGGTTTCATAATCATCAGCACTACTCGACAGTTCAAATATTCACGTGAAAAGCATTATGTAAATTGTAGAAGGTTTGAAGATGTTGAACTCTCGGAGGTTATTTCGTCAGTGGGATATGGGTTCACACTGGGAATTTTTGATGACGTACGTCATTAATTAATTGCCAAACAACACTGTTAAAAATTTTTGTCTGAAATTTATGTATTGTTTTTGGAAACTTTTATCGAGTTTAATTGCCACTGAAATTTGAAGGAATTTCGTCATCGAAAATTCAGAATTTCGTGGAAAAATCAAAGAGAACTGTAAATTGCAATCCCATTTTTTCCTGAAAATGAGTAGAAAACCAGAAAATTCCGGTAAATATATTCTTGAATTTTCAGGACAGTAACACTGAAGGCGATTTGGGGGGAGAAATCATGAAATTTCAGATTTCACTAAAAATTCAATGTAATTTGGCACTGAATATTCATATTAGATTGGAAATTCAAATAAAAATTTGGAATTTTACCAAAATTGCCGTGAAACTTGAAATTTCATGATTTTTCTTCTCCTAAATCGCATTCAGTGTCACTGTCGTGAAAATTCAGTCAACTGTCTATGAAATTTCATTTGTTTTCTAACAGTGTACAATTCGGCTGAAAATTCTCAAAATAAATTCCGAAATACAAATCCCTATTTGGCGCCTGAGCCGAAGGCGAGTTAACCACTCAAGTAGAAAAAGCCCATCGCAACAGCCCAAGACAATATGTTTTAGTAGCGATTTTCAAGTTTCCAAAAAATCAATTCACATTAATTATTTTCAGTGTTCCTCATTTTCACCGAAATATTGAACTGAAATTCACCGTTTCCATTGATTTCGCTATTTTAGAATTCGCTATTTTAGAGAAAAAAGCCGGTAAAATTCTAATAGTTTAAAAGATAAATAGAATGAAAATCTCACAACCTATATTGACAAGGCAATATTTCCTAAAATTACCGTGAAACCGTCATATGAAAAATTCAGTCTTCTTCATTAAACGATATTCCTAATCATTGCAAACATGAATTTCGCAATTAATCACCCATAAAATGACAAGTAGATTCTCATCGCAGTCGACAGTTCTGGCATTGAACTAGAATCCAGTTCGCTCTTAATATATTCCAAACTATCTGGAGCAGAATTTAAAAAATGTCACTGGAAGAAAAATCGAGATTAACACTCCAGCAAAAAAACACGCTCGCATGAAGAATTAATTCTAAATTTACTGTATAGATAGAATAGCATTGAATCACCCGAGCTGTAATGTTCTATTGCGAAAAGTGTTACAAGGATGTCCAGGGTTCATGCCCCACAATCTCAGGTCGCCTCTTCATCCGAATCTGCAAAAAAATATAAATAACAAACGAGTCTTGATTACCAATCCTCCTATCATTCTCAGTTTTACTATTCAACCGGCAAAATCATTCTTCACTCCGCGTCACTTACACAATCCCGTCACTGCAACAGACCTCGCGTGGCTCGAAATATATTTTCGTAAGTGAAACAATTAACGGAATAATAACGAGTAATTATTAAGATCGTGAGAGAGGCGTTAACACTAGCAATTTGTTTCAACTCTCGATGATTAAAAACAAACATTTGGCATGAAAAATACGTCAAAGGAGCCATGAAATGAACTTCCTTGGTGCACGCAACGTTGTAATAAGTCTGAGATGGAAGTTGGTCCCCTTACGTGTTCGTAATCGCTGTAATCGATGGAAATCTCGGTCGCGGAAATGCCACGGAAATTGCGTATAGAAAGTCGACAAATATAGGGAGAGAAGCTAACATGTGGCTGCGATATGGCGACAAAATGTGCCAACATAACATGCGTTATCACATGAAATATTGGGTGAATAATTGGTGAATTGAACTAATTTGCGAACATTTTTTTTTCGAATGAAAATTTTTCTATTTGGTGTAACATAAAATGAATTTGTAATGCAATTTTTTTAGGAGTAAAATTCAGCTGAATTTAGCAAGAGGCATTCAATTTCCACTATACTATTCAAAATTTTCAGCTGACATTTTCAGTACACTTCTGGACAATTTTTATCAAGCATCAGTTCTACTGAAATTTCACCGAATTTCGTCATTAAAAATTCTTAATTTGGTTAGAAAATGAATAAAAAATATGAATTTCAGTTAATTTTGAATGAAAAATTTTCCACTCGGTAAATGGAAATTAAATGTAAAGTAAATTTTTAATGCAAGTTTTTCTAATATACTGCTGAGATTTTTCAGAGGAAATTTCCAGTATTATTCTCGAAAATTTTTATCAAGTATCCCTTTTACCAAAATCTTAAGGAATTTCGTCATTAAAAATTCGTAATTTGATTGGGAAATCAACAAAAATTCTATAATTTCATTTCAATCCTATAAAAATTAATAAAAATCCGTTAAATTCAGGTAAATATTTTCCTGAAACATCGAATATTCATATTTAGACTGAAAATACACGGAAGCTGTGAAATTTATGTCTCCTCGCTGCTTCAAAATTTGGAATTCCCTTGAATATCCAGTAGAACTTAAAATTCCATAATTCTTTCTCCTCAATCGATTTCAATGGCCCTCCAACAAAATTACTACTGAACTGTCCATGACATTTCAATTTAACTCCACCAGTGTAGTCAGAAAATTTTATTTTTTAAATCACCGTCAAAGAGAACAAAAAAATTTGGATTTGTCAATAACAAAAAAAATTTGAAATTCCTCATTGATCAATTGTTATAAAAAATTCATGATTTTCATCTGTCGTTGGGAAATGACGTTATCAATGAATCCGACAACATTCGTTGACGCTGACATTCACTAACGAGTGTGTTAACAAGATTCAAATAAATTCCCGAACCCCAAAAATCTTTATTCATTATTAGATAACATCTTCCGGTTCCCCCGCCCGAAAACCGACGAATCAATTAATTCGGCTCACGTCACGTAGACGTCGTCACGTACTCTTTCATAATCCTGGCCGAAATACTGAGGGTCGCATAGGAAATCGATCAGTGAAAGAATTCACCTCGGATCGTAATCATCCACGCGGTTTTCAATATTTCCCCGAGTGTAGCGTGGAAAAAATTTCTTTACTATGATTGTTCATCATTGGACGAGACAATAGGAGGTATTAAATCGGCAGTTAAGCCCGTAATTCAGTTGTTTTCCCCCGGGGAAATTGGCAATACCTGTTTCAGAAGTGCTTCCTGATGTTCGCGGATATGGAGAGACTGTTTGTGATCGTTTGTGCACTTGGGGCTGTGAGATCGGAGAAGATGGAACGATCTGTTGCCGCTGAGGATTACAATCATAATTACGTCAATTCCAATTATCATCAAAGGGGGGTTCAGGATAACAGAATTGATGAGTTTCCAATAAACAGGTAAAAATCAAATCTTGACTTCTTTTGTTTTTTGTTAACTTCTTATTGATAATTATTATTCATAGCCGTAAAGTTTTTTTTCTAAAACTTGTCTGAAATGAAATTTAATGTCGAAAATTAATGAGAACTGTTTTATTTTGTAATCAAGAAAGGTTGAAATGTCAATAATCTCTTGACTTTGGACATTCTTAGTTGGAATTAAACATCTGAAGTTTTTTAAAGAAATTAAAAAACTCACTATCTGCAGGAGTTTTATGAGATGATCGAAAACCTAATTTCCGAAAATTACGTTTTTTTCCATAAATTTTTTATATTGTTTTGTAGTTATTGGCCATTACCGCAGAGACCAATAAGTACGAAAGAATTTTAAAAATTCGGTCGAGATCTTCTCCACAGCATAAATGATTTATGAGCAATCGATTTCGACATAGAAATATTGATGAGATTCCAGTAAACAGGAAAAAATCAATCCTTCCCTTCTATGGTTCTTTATTGATTTTTTATCGGTAATAAAAAAATTGTATTCATGAAGTTTTTCTTTCGAAACTTTCATGAATGGATTGGACTGTTCATCTAGTATAATAGTTAATTCTTGCGAATCTCAAGTTTCGGATCAAAGTATCGATAAATTTATGGTTTATGTCGAAAATAAAAGAGCATTCTTTCGCATAAAATAAAATCGCATTCTTTTGTATTGAACAAAAGTGGAAATATCAATAATATCTTCAATTTTTTAATTCATTACTAAAATTGACCATTTGAAAAATCTAAGAAAAATTAACAGCTCCACTGCCTGCAAAAAAAAATAAAAGAAAATGATAAAAAAAATTTAATTGAAGTAAATTGCCACCATTTTCATAAATAATTTATAAACAATTAATTTCACCCGCAAAAATTGGCTTTTCAAGTTTGAATAATTTCCCTCATTGATTTATGAAAGGCGAATGTTAAAAAAAATGAAATACAACATGAATTTTGTATCAATAAATTTTTTATTTTGTCTGACGAAACCCCGATTAATCGAATGGGAATTATCTCAAGGGCTTACGACCGTCAAACGGAGCGAGAAGCCGAGTACGAAATCTACAGACTGTTGTCCAGTGCGCAAGGCCCAGCGGACATGGTGAAATTGGACGCCCTGGGTGATCATTTGATATCCCGAGCGAACGTGACAGAAGAAGCACGAAGAGTAGTGAGACAGGTCAAGAAGCAGCGGCCAGGCTTCTTCTGGTCGCTCTTCAAGATCGCCTTCGAGGTAACAATTAGTGATGCCATTAATAGATAGATAGACCCGAGAAATTTTTGGATAGATCATCACGGTCAGAAAAAACATCAAAAGTTTTGGAATCGTCGCAATCTCGAAAAACATGGGATCGGTGCATCTCGTCACGATTTTGGGAGGACTTATCTTGCCTAGGTGTCGACTTTTCCGGTTTTATCGTTACGACTTTGTCGTAACTTTGTCGTGACTTTATCGATATCGGCGATATAAAAACAGGAAAAAAACGAAAAAGTCGAGACCCGGGCAAAATAAGTGCTCAAAAAATCGTGACGAGATGCACCGATCCAATTCCAAAACTTTTTATGTTTTTTCAGACAGTGATGATCTGTCCAAAAAATTTATCGTGTAGTCTCGACGGCATCACTAGTAACAATGTTCCATTCCATTGTGCCCGTGTATTTCCCGTCCTAATGACCCGTGATTCCACCGCAGGATTTGAGCGACACAGTGTCAACGGTGCAGGAGATCATCAGGATCGTTAACAAAGCGATTACCCCCCCGTCGACGACGACGGCGAAAACCCCGTTGGCCACTGGGCCTAGTAACGGCACAAAAACGACTACTGAAGCTCCATTCGTGCTCACTGCGGAGGGCATTGCCACCACCATCAGGAGAAATCTCAAAGGGCTTATTAGACTGTTTAATATTGAGTGGAAAGATGCCATTGATGTGAGTGGAATTATTTCGCGGCGACGCTGAAAATATTGCACTGATAGACTGATTCATTTATTCCAAAGGAGATGCGTTAACTATTAATGAATGGTAGGGTTGAATGTGACCAAATAATATTCGTAATAGTTAACGAATGGTTCACTTGAAAAGTGAAAATCGAGTCGAGCGAGGATCTTCAAATGTGCATTTGTTAACTATTAACGAATGAACATTTGGTGAGACCGAATAGACCCTCGTCTTCAATCAAATCCATTCGTCAACGATAACTAATCCCTTCTATCAGTGTGGGATCGGTTCAATAGTGAAGGTCTCGGTGTAAACAAAATGGATATGACAGGGTTCACAACGGGCAAAAGTGTCTATACACTGATAGAATGATTCATTTATTCCAAAGGAGATTCGTTAACTATTAACGAATGGTTCACTTGAAAAGTGAAAATCGAGTCGAGCAAGGCTCCTCAAACATGCATTCGTTAACTATTAATGGAACGAATATTTGGTGAGACCAAATGAAACTTCGAGCGCAGGAATTTCTGTAGAAGATATCTTAATAGAACAAGTTGTACAGAAAAATAAAATTTCACAGATTTTGTCTACAGCGTACCTTCCATTTAACATTTCAGTAGCGAAGGGGTAAAACGGTTTAAGTCGATATTGAGCCCTTAGCTGAGTTTTCGAGGAATATCTCCTAATTTAAGGGAGATCGGGAAATTTTCGTAACTAGCTTTTTTGTAGAGCGGATTACAGGCTACAAAAAAGTCGCAACGAAAATTTTTTCATCTCCCTTAAATTTCGAGGTATTTTTTGGAAACTGCCAATAGTCAAAATCGACTTAAACTGTTTTACCGCTTCGCGACTGATTGTTATTGAAAGAAACATGGTGTTAAGTTGCTGAATTTTTTAATAGAATTGACCAGAAGTAGTAGAAAGTTCAGAAACAACTCAATAGAATTTTCTAGCGAATTAACATATAATAACATATACATAGTTATATGAAATTCATTTTTGATGAATATCTCGGAATCTGAGAGAGATAACAAAACTGTCCTCATGACCTTTTTTGTAACCGTCAATTGGCTGTACAAAAATGGTCACGACAAAAATTTTTCTCTCTTTTAGATTTCTGGATATTCATCAAAAACTGGCGAATAGTCAAAATCGACTTAACCCGGTTTACCGCTTCGCTACTGAATTGGTTTTGTTTAAATACATTGTTCCCATTCACTACTAATAACAAAATCCACTTTAATTTTCAGGGGTCAAAAGTCAGTATTCGTGAATTCAAGAAGGACCTAGGAAAGAGCATAGCGACTTCCCTCGCAGACAACCCCAACGCTTACGTATAACAAATCAATCCCTCGATAACTTCTGTAAATATTCAGTGACATAAATTGTCAATTTGTACAGCACCACAGGCTTCGCCATGTTATTATATAATAATGTTAATAGTAATTTGCACATGGAGTTTAGATCTCTCGTCTCTCGTCGAGAAAAAAATGCCCTTAGGGGATTCCCCGGGAATGTGGCGAATAGCATGCGCGTCATGGCGTTACGTATTTTACGAGTTTGGGGTCTTTAATTTTGCGTAAGCCGACCTACATGCGGCCAGCTGCGCCCACTCGATGTTTATCACAAATATCAAATTGTAACTGAAGAATAAATGGGAATTCTGAGAGAGGAGAAAGCGGGAGCATCACGATTGGCTGCTTTTGACATTTGGCGTGGGCCAATACGAGGTCTCAAGGGGTTTGCAAATATATAGCAGGAGGAAAGAGTGATCTGCAGGTCAAATCCTCTGTTTTAGTCCGAAGGAAAGGATCGAGAAATTATTCCTTTGATTAAAGTTCATAGTTAATCATCATTTTTCATCGTTAGTCATCAATTTTTTGTGGTAGAGACATTTTTAACTTTGCGATAGTGGAGTCAGTGCAGGAAAATGGTCCGGGGCTTTCTCGGATTATTTTTTGTTACTGTTATTTGTGGGGTCCTAGGTCAACAGGTGAGTACTGAGGAAGGTGGAGGATGAAGTTTGGGAGTTAATGAAGTGTTTAGGGTTTTCTGTTCGAGGGGGCGGCGAGGAGACGAAGACCCATTAGTTATGATGATTCGGGAGTTCCTGGGAAGCCCACGAGACCCAGTGGAGTCAATCCCTCAACTGTTGACAGTATTTTTCAGGTATTTTCGGGTTTATGTTGAGGGATTTGTTGTCTTTAATTTATTCTCACTGCCTACCATTTTGCAAATAATATTCATTTGGTGAATTACAATTTGGAAAGGAAATAATTTCAATGAACCAAAATATATGAATATTTAAGTGGAATTCGTTAAATCTTCGCTTCGATTTTTACTCCACTTTTTGTTATTTTAAAGGATTTGATGTTAAATGAATTATTGTCGTTCACGGAAAACAGAGGAAAATTACCGAATACATCAAGTAATCGTGGAAAAGAACGAGACGAATAGTGAATTTTTTTGTTGGGCCGGGAGAATTTACTGAGCATGAGGGAAATTTGTGCCGAAACAGTAAAATTTACCCTGCATTCCATAAAAAATTATCCCAGTGAACGTGAATGATTGCTCAATATTGTGTAAAATTTTTCTGTTACGGAGAATGATTTTTTGTCGAACGCGTTCGGTTAAATTTCACTTCCATTCGCCCCCATGACCTTCGAATGGGTGCAAGAAAAAAATAGCCTACCGGTGTGGGAATTTGTAATGACAGAAGAATAATTTATAAACATCCATAGAGGTGTTTTTTTACTGGACAAATCGTAAAATATCCACCACAAACAGGTATTTTTACATTTCCACGATTATTTTTCGTACAGTAAAATTTGAGACTATTTTCTAGGTAATTTTTATTCACCTTTTCTTTCCGCGTAGGAGTTCAATAAAGGTAATGAATGCAATTAACGAAGTTAAATCATGGAATGAGTGCAATTAATGTAGTCGTTTATTGGAGTTAGCGATTGTGGATAATAATTTTTTTGAGTATTCAGTTCAATCGAACTTAGTGTGTAATTCGTGTTGAATTCATTAATTCAATTTTCAGATTCCAATAGCAGTGATTCAAGGAACTTCAGCCGCCGCTCAATCCTTTTATCCTAGCAATGGAGAAACGATTAATAAAGTATTCGATGTGAGTTTTTTTAAGATGATGTAGTGGTGGGTGGGGCAGAATCGACACTCGTCACTTTTACTTAAACGTTGATGAGACATTGAATTCTTCATAAAATGGAATTATTTTTACTCGAATGGAAAATACAGTCCTGTCCCTTTGGAATGACCCTAGACTGAGCTCAATTGATAAATTTATTCGTGAGTTATGAACATTTAACAAAGACAAAAGAGTCCATTTTACCCCATTTTTCCCTATATGACGTCTAGAATGCGAGAACTCGAGGTTGAAATATTAGAGATGAAAGTTCAGGTTTAGACGATGTTGAAAAAAAAGGAGAGAAAAGTATTGGTGACTTTAATAGGAAAATTGATATTGGGTATCATCAATAAAATTCGGAATTCAAGGCATGGATTTTAACAATATTAATATGCCATTTAGGTATTATCCATCAAAAAATTATTCTCACCTATCGAAATCACTCAAGAATTACCTGATTTTTCCACCAGAATTCTAATTAATAATATTTTTAACCAGATAATTCTCTATTTTCAATGAAAAATCGCGATAAGACAAATTCATTGAATTTTTAATTAATTTCATTTATTTCAGTAGCGAAGTGGTAAAGCGATCTAAGTCGACTTATCTCTTAGTTGAGTTTCTGAACAATATCTCCGAATCCAAAGGAGGTAACGAAATTTTCATAATAACCCTTTTTCTAGAGCAAATTGAGTGCTACAAAAAAGGTCTTGACAAAAATTTATCTATCTTCCTTAGATTCCGAGATATTCACTGAAAACTGGCCAATAGTCAAAATCGACTTAAACCGTTTTACCACTTCGCTACTGATTTGTTTTTTTAAATTCAAATTTCCATTTCAAATGGTTTGAATACTTTTTTTTCACGAGACAATTTAATTTCGTCAAATGTGAAGAATTCCCACAGACTTGTCCGATGGACTTCTGTAAATATTTTTAGTTTACCGAAATTCCCTGAACGTTAACAAAAAATAATTTAGAAATAGTTCCAAAAAATTTAGGAAAGAATTAAATTCTCAATAAAACGAAGAATAGATAAACATTCTTTATGCATTCAATAGATTCCGGTTCAAACTCTCCACGCAGTTGGTAATCTCATAAAAGACCGGTACCCTCCCCAGTCCAGAGGCTCTGATCAGAATACAATAGGAGATCCCAAACGTGAGGAGCTCATGACAATCCGAGAATTGGAAATACAACGTCGCAAGGTTCCACGCACTTCCGTCAATAATACTCCCATAAACTCTTGCAAATTTAAATTTATAAATCGAGGCATTGTTATTCGCAGCAACATTTCGAGAAAAAAGAGCGTGTCGGAGGATTGCAGAGGCTGAAGCGTCAGCAGACTCCTCCGGACGCGCAGGCGGAAGGCAGAAGGCACCACTCGATTTATGATCCTCTCGCCTGGACTGAGGCCTTTGCCGATGTTTTGGTCGGTCACGGGGGGCTGTTCAGCGGTCACGGGGGGCATTTCGGCGGTCATGGGGGGTTTCATGGCGGTCATAGTCATGGGAATCTCTTCGGGGGGCATCAGAAGAAAAAGAAGAAGAAGAAACCTCATGGCGGGCATTTTCAACAGCTAGGGGGGCACAATCACGGGCAGGGCAGCCATGGAGGGCATTTCGGGAGTCATGGGCATGGTCATGGCAGCCATGGAGGTGTAGAATTGAAATTAATTTAAGGAAATGAGGGAAAATGAACTGGTTCCAATCGTCAGTATCCCCTGATCAAGTGATAGGATTTGGATAAATCAAAATTCATTCAGCAGATTGAAAAAGAATCTTCATTGAGAGAAAGAATTAGTCATTATTGAAAAATGAATTTACGATTTATTTGACTCAAATAAAATTCATTTAATTCAAAAAAACCATTTTTCCATTCTCTCTTATTTTTGTTTATCGACATCTCTATTTTTGAAATTAATTAATTGAGATAGTTTCTTTTATTCTGTAGCTCCGCAGATTCTCGGAGGGAATAATCACCCCTACGAAGTAACCGAGAACCTCGACGACGTCGCCCCGCAGGGAGGTTTTTTCTCCTGGTTCCAACCAACTCGAAGGCCCCTTCAGATCCAAAACAAAATCGCCCCTAGATATTGATACAGAGTTTGCTCTTCTCCGTAAAAAAATCCCGACAAACATCTTCAATGTCGAAACATGAAATTGATGCGTCACCTGCAGAAAAACCTCAGCAAAATAACAGTGATTTGCAGTATAATTTTTCATACCAGTGATTGCTGACGCAATTGGATTAAGCCAGCTCTCAGAACCTCGTGATTACAATTGTACATAAACAATCCATTACATATGAATCTCATAATTTAATGAGTTGGAAATTTTCCAGCATCGACGAGACTTTTTTTTGTATAAAAATGAGTTGAACTGTTTATAAAACTGTGGAAACAAATCATTTTGTTCATTTATTTTAGTATTGAATCCGAATTTATGAATGAGATAAACAAAGATGTCGGACGTGATCAGGGGAATAACTTCTAAATTTTTATGGCTCATTATTCAAGTGCCAGTGACCTGTCGTGAATGCCAAATATATACTATTTACTCATCTCTCCCATCGTTATTTTTATCGTCTAAACCCCACAACATTGTTAATAAAAAATTGAAATTTCATTACATTTGACTAGTAATGATCAGGAGAATGACATTAATGTGATTTAGGGGGGAAAAATCACGAAATTTCAGATGTCACTGAAAATTCACTGAAACTTATGAATTTTCAACCAAAATATGAATATTCAAGGTCAAATTACACTAATTTTCGGGAATCTGTCACCGACTGGAATAACCCTGATCATCAGTGATTTTTATCACTGAAATTTATTGATAGATTCATTTCCGAATTTTACACTCACTGAATTTCACAGTTACGAATCCCTAAAAACTGGGATAAATCCCCGAAAATCAGTGCCATTTCCCTGAAAAACAAAACTTTTTTTTCTAAAAAAAAAATTAAAAACTAAAATTCGCAAAGACCAAATAATTCACCCGAATAATTTCAAAATAACTTGTGGAATAACGCAGAGGATCAAAATAAATGAATGATTTAAAAAAAATTGTGCCAAGATTTTTTCCGTTCATGTAAATCGTTTTTTTGCTCGCTGCAACGCAGATAAAAACCCCCAGACAATTTTCTTTGTCTCTCATATTTTTATTCCCTCGTATGATTGGCCTCCCAGCCCCACCGCGAGGAGGTTCCCTTCTCCCAGTGGAAAGTATTCTCGTCGCAAGAAACCGGCCTCGACGCGATCACACTAGACGCCGAGTCACTCTGTTGTCAGTTTCGTTATAAAGATGATCAGGAACAGATGCATTATTCTCATCATGATATCGATATCCGCGAATTTGTCGGCCGGGCAGCCCCTGCCGGAGGAGCCCGAGGAGCCGGTCAAGGATCAGGACGATAAATCGCTCTTCAACGTGAGTTTTATTCCACTATTCTTTTGTTCTCCGGAGTTCATTAGCCGGACCAGCGTTCAGACGTAATTTTCCAGTTTATTGTGAAATTGTCTCCTGCTTTCCCTTTTGAGATCATCAGTCTTGATCGATAGGTAACTCATTGAGATCAATCGATAAGGCTTAATTATAGCGACAGAAACAAGTGTCTCATTTCCTGATTACGATTTGTCAATAAAATGGCTGAATTTCGATAAAAGTTTTTATTCTCAATTTTTCTATTCGTTTCAATAGAAATGTTCTAATTGTATGAAATGAATAATGAAGTTATTCCATATGAATGGGTTATTACAATAAATAAACGATGTATTTGATTTATTTTAATAAACCCATTTATTCAATTCCGTTAAAATTACTTTAATTCAAATAAAACATTTCTCAGGGTTTATTCATCAATTTTAGTCTTGATCGATGTGTAACGGCTTGATTATATTGACAGGGGCAGTTGTCTGATTTCTTAATTATGATTTGTCAATACAGTTGCGGTATTTCAATTGATAAACCCTCGGAGAAATTACGTTTTTTTCAAGAATAACGTGTTTTTTTTAATCCAATGAAAACTTTTATTTGAAATTTTTCTATTCATTTCCACGGAAATGTTTCAATTATACGAAATGAATAATTCATTCAGTCCATATTAATGGATTATGACATGTTAATAAGAAACAATAATTTATATTAAAAAAACTATTTGAAGACATTAATTTATTCGATTCAATCAAAGTGCATTCAATTAAATCAACAAATTTCTCTGAATGCATTCATCAATTTTATTGGATTAAGATTTCGTTTCGCGATGTCGTACTTCAAACTTCACTATTTTCATTCAATAAACAGTAATTTTTCGTGTTCACATTGCACAATTTCCGTTTAAAGTCTAAGGTTTTATTATCTTCCAGAAGAATCGTCGCTTTGTTCGGAAAAATGGTACCTCACTCATGAATATGAAATAGAGGCTAATCACAATAATTAAAAAATCAGAAAACGCAATTATTATGTCTTTTTTCACTAAGTCTACGTGTTGTGAGTGAAGGAATTCAGAGATCGTTGCATAACAGACGGAAGTTTTTACTGACGATCCACTTCTAATTTCCAGCTGCCCTTCCTGCAGTTCAAGAATGGGGGAGTTAGGGTGAATTTCGCTGGGTATCACGCGGAGGCTGGACTAGGGGGGCTTCTCGGGGGGTCTGGGACTAGGGGAGGACTTTACGCGGGAGTTGGCACACCGTTTGGACCTCATGCCTCCGCCGACATCGGCGGAGCCTTGGGGGGAGACAAAGGAGGTACAGTGATGCAATTGAAAAATTCCGGTGATACATAATTCATTATATAGTGGGAATTCGAATCGGTTTTGCATTTGGAGTTAGGGGAGAGGTGAGGGATAATTATTTGTTAGTGATATTTTTATGAACGCGCTGCATTGCACGAAAATGCAGCACGAGAACAACAGAAAATTTATGAGAGGATTTATGGGCAATTTTCGCAGAGAAAGGCAGACCTATTAACGCATTTTTTAATGAAATTATCTGATTTTTTGCCGATGTCATCAAGTGTTCAATTGAAAATTCAATTTAAGGATATTCAACTATCTTTCTCACTATTGATTCAGCCATTTTCAATTACTGAATTGTCACTTAAATTGCGTGAGAAAAATTTGAAAAAATCATGAATATTCGGCGTCATTCAAATTACATTTTGCACAGAATTATTTTTTTAAACATTCATTTTTGATAAATAAATAATTGAAATTGTGTAAACATTCGGGAAACTCATTTTTTTAGGAATGAAATCGATTTCTGGCAGAATTCTGAATATGAATAAATTTGTTACGGTTTCGAGCAAATGTTTTGTATGGTGGAAAATTGATTTATAAATTATTTATAAAAATGGACTTAATTTTCAAAAATTGCAACTTCGAAATTATTTTACATCGAGATTCAAAAATAAAGTCATTCTAAAAAAGAATTTTACTGGAGAACCAATCGTCGAAGTACTTGAATATCCTTAATTCAAGGGAAATCGAGTGAATGTTGTTTTTAATTGATCAAGGCCGATGAATTTTATCAAAACATGCACTAATATCGCATGATTTTTATTTCAATATACAGAAAATCCTCTCTGACTTCAAAATGTTCAAGTGAAACAGACAAAATTCCCTCCCCTTGAAAACTGCAATAAAATTTTATCAAAAATCCGATTTCAGTGTGGCTTCACTTTTATGATTAATTAATAATCAATTAATTCTTGTGAAATTCTCCTTTTTGTTTTCTTTTATTATTTCGCATCTCAAATTATACTAAAATTCTTCAAGAAAAAAATCCCACTCTCAAACCAACAAAAGCACCTGAATGAAATTTCATTTGTAATTCCGTTATTTCCCCCAGCCGGTGGATTGAGAGCTCGTGCAGGTCTAGGAAACGGTCTACCCGAGGCCGCAGCGGGTTTGGGTGGTAATTTAGACGGATCAAACGGTGGTGGCAACGGTGGTAGACTCTACGCCGGAGCGAGCAACGGAATAAAGACGCGAATCGTCACCAAAGACATTGGAGTCCCTGATATTGATCAGTCGAATATCCAAGTAATTCCAAAGAAGGTGAGTTCAGAGATCAGAGTCCACTGTGTCAATTAAAATAAGTGGACTTCGTTTCGTATTTAATCACCGTGTTTTTCCTTTCTTTTGAAAGAGCGACGTGAGTCAGGCCCCTGCGGATTCCAAACCTGAGTTGATCAGGCGAGAAGCTGCTGCGCAAGATGACAGTGCTAATGCAGTGGAGCCTATTCCGATCGCAGGTAAATAATTCCATGCAGCGAAATATTAATTCCTCCCGCTGTCGCATTAATTCATTAATTCACAAACCTCAATCGATTCATCAACATTCATTTGCAAGTGAATTGATATTGGGTTTCAACCTTCCTGTAAATGACTTCAAAACTCGAGGACATTTTCCCGATTTCTTGTTCTTCTGCAGTCGTGACTGACGCACCTCAATACGCCTATCCCACGAGGCGATGTCGCAGGAAGAGACTCTGTACCAATTTCGCTATAAAAAAATTGACCCAACAGCAATACCCAGGGAACCTACTCACCCCCGATCTGGGCCTTGACAAACCTCTTCCAGGACTCGATGCGGGAATTGTAGAGAGGAGTGCAGGTCCGGAGGTGCCGGCGGGAGCGGGAGCCTCTGGAGGAGTCGCTACTGACGCCACTGGGTACAAGGGTGTCGCCGTATCCCCAGGAGCTGCCCCTGGTGGTCCATCTCCACCTCCACATGCAGCTAGACGCACCGTATTTGATGATATTTTCAATGTAAGTTCGCAGGAGAAGTCGAAGTGATTTGAGGAGTTGAAATCAGTAGCGATGTGGTAAAAGGAGATAAGTCAATTTTGACTTTTGACCAGTTTTCAATCAATATCTCGGAATCTAAGGGAGATAGCAACATTTTTGTTATAACCTTTTTTGTGGAGCCGATTGAGTGCTACAATAAATGTAATTACGAAAATTGCGCTATCTCCCTTAGATTTGGAAATATTCCTCAAAAACTCCTGGGAGATAAGTCGACTTATCTCCGTTTACCACTTCACTACTGAAATCGATGCGTTACAATCCCGTGTGTGGTCAGACAAGATCGAATGCGCGCTCCGCGCGCATATCAACACGATGGGGCGATTAAGGGATTCATTATTTTCATCGTAATTTACGTTAATTAGGAGGATGGACGTTGAATAGTTGATAAAAATTTTTGCGCAGCTGTTCAAACAATTTCAGTGAATAATGAGAAATATTCTTATTTGTCTCCGTTTTATTTTAGAGGCGACAGAAGAAAATAAACACGTGGCACATTTTGGCCGTTTCGTTGTTATTATAGAGATTTTTAACTGAACATCGAACAATTTCAGCGAAAAGTAAGAAATATTCGTATTGGTCTCCGTTTTATTATAGAGAAGAGAGATGAAAATAGACGCGTGACACACTTTGGCCATCTTTTTATTATAGAGAAGATGGATATTTCACTGACATTTCATGTACCGAAACTGAAATCAATTTGATAAATTAATCACCATTTTCACATACATCTAATTTACCATTTATTTAAACATCTCGTTTCCCGTATGGATTAACATTGTGAATTCGTTCAGACACTGGCTACAAAAAATGCTAATGATTTTCTTCCACGATTTTTCAGATTCCCATTGCAACTCTGACGGCAGTAAACCAGTTGTTGAATAGCAAACTGGGCTGATTCATCATTGTAATCATTGAGGAACATCTACGCGTCGTTACCGAGACACCAAGGACGCACAATAATTTAATACTCTCCTTTATGAAATTTTTATTCTCTAACTGTAACTGGAACTCGTTCTTTGTCTTGATTTGAATTCCACCATTCTCGAAATGTCGAACAATAATATGAGAATTAAATTGAGAAATAGAAACAATAGGCATTCACCGGATGAACACATTTCTTTAAAGCGAAATCAATGAAAAATTTAGTATTAGAAATTGCAATTTGGCGCTTGTCGCATTGAGGAGATGTGATATTACGCATGGCATTTTGTAATCCCCAGAAATCGTAATAATAATTTACTGATTACAATAGCTGGAAGTCTCTCTGCATTTGTTCACGTCAATTGGAATTATTCCGAGTAATGTTCGTCGAACGATTTGATACTAGATACGCGGAATGGGAGCCTAATGAGCCGTAACGATGTCCAAAGTTTGATTTCCATGGAAAGACGCCAATTGTCCAAGTCCTTGATGCGAGTCATGACGTACACAACTTATTGTGCTCTTATTTATTTCGCCTCACCGTCGTTAATCAGCGACTTTTTTTATTGAGGCATAATGTCTAGAATAGATACAAGTGCGAGCATCAATCATGTCTGATAACTCGGCTATTAACAGACTATTTTTTCAGGCTATAGATTAGTCCTTTGATAATTAAATGAGTTTCTTATCAACTTTGGGACCTAGTGAAGTCATCTTTTTGGACATGTTTTGTCATGTTTTTAGAATAGTCGTCTCTAATCGTATGATTGTATTAATATTAAGGTGGAAATACATGAATTTGAAGCAAGAAAGGGTAGTAGTTAATCCGCAAACCTCTTTTCATGACCGAGGGAACAACGAGGAGGCGACAATAACATATTTTTATACGACATTTATTGTGATCAATGCAGTCTATAAATCATTCAATAATCAGCGATGGGAATTGCTTAAAAGGGGAGGATGTGAATATCGTTTCATTCATTGGTGGAAATGATCGTCAACATGCGGAGGGAAGGGTTGTTAGTTTTGATCACTTTCGTGATCGATTCGTATGGAAGATCTGTGCCGGCACCAGAGGTAACTTTTTAATTATTGAGTTTATCATCTTGAACGATCGGTGATATATCAATCATAGAGAGAAATAATGAGAAATAATTCCGTGATTTTTTTGCAATTTTTTTATGTTTTATGCTCATAAAAATTCGGATTTTAGTAGAGTTTATGAATAAAGTCATTCATGGGAGTTTCATGTAAATGAGTTGAAAATTTTGGAGATTGAACGGAAATTTTCAATAACAATTTGTTAATTATTACTGTTTAAGTTTGAAAATTCGAATTTCACATAAATGAGTCGATGAAAATTTCGAAGATTGAATGGAGATTTTGAATGATAGTTGGTTAATTATTTTGTAGGGCTACGATGGTGGGGTATATACCATTCCATTTAAGAATGTTAAATGGGAAGGTTCGTGGTCTGGGGATGGAGGCTTCGGCGGAGATGAATCAGTCGGTTCGTGGACTAGTGGAGTTTCAGGAGGCTCACGGGGCGGAGGCGGCTCTCATGGCGGTGTTTCGAAAGGTTCATGGTCTGGCGGTACGTCAGGGGGTTCGTGGACCAGCGGTTCTGGGGGTTCATCCAAAGGCGGAGTAATCGGAAATGTAATTTCAAAGACTGTGGATTTGGCCGATGATATTGTCTCAGTAAGCTGCTGCATTCAACAGGATTTTTAGTGAGCGGTCGTTAATGCTTCGTTAACTCTGTTTACAGACGCCATTTCGTGTATTGGGCGGTCTCGGTAAAGGGGGTTCGAGGGGTTCAGGCGGCTCTACTAAAGGAATCGTTGGAAACGTCCTCTCGAAAACTGTAGATCTTGCCGACGATATTGTATCGGTGAGCTGTCCTGTTGTGAATAATGAGAATGATTCATCCATCATTACAATCCTAGGTGAAGGGTAAATAATAATTATTGAACATTTTCCCAGACACCTTTTCGTGTAGTGGGCGGAATCCTCGGTGGCGGTTCTGGTGGAGGAGGGTCAGGCGGTGGGTCAGGTAAAGGAGTCATTGGAAATGTTCTCTCAAAAACTGTAGATCTTGCTGACGACATTGTTTCGGTGAGAACTCTCATTTCTAGTAATCGAGATATTTTATTTTTCGATGAAAAAATGATATTTCGATTATATTCATCAACTCCAGACACCTTTCCGCGTTTTGGGCGGAATCCTTGATGGCGGTTCTGGCGGAAGAAAATCAACAAGCACCACTTCCGGTGGTTCATGGACGAGCGGTGATTCTCGTGGAAAATTTGAGGGAGGAGGATCATTTGGCGGCGGTTCGGGCGGGTCGTGGACTAGCGGTGGATCTCGTGGAAGTATCGGCGGAGAGAAAACCACGAGCACCACTTCAGGCGGTTCATGGACGAGCGGTGGTTCTCGCGGAAAGTTCGTGGGAGGAGGATCATTTGGCGGCGGTTCAGACGGGTCGTGGACTAGCGGTGGATCTCGTGGAAGTTTCGGCGGAGAGAAAACCACGAGCACCACTTCTGGCGGTTCATGGACGAGTGGAGACTCTCGTGTAAGTACCGGCGGGGGAATAACCACAGGCACTACGTCAGGCGGTTCCTGGACAAGCGGCGACTCTCGTGGAAGTTTTGGCGGGGACAAAACCACGAGCACCAACTCGGGCGGTTCATGGACGAGCGGTGGTTCTCGAGGAAACTTAGTAGAAGGAACGTCAGGTGGATCATGGACTAGCGGCGAATCTCGTGGAAGTTTCGGTGGAGGAATAACCACAGGCACTACTGCGGGCGGTTCATGGACCAGCGGCGAATCTCGTGGAAGTTTCGACGGAGACAAAACCACGAGTACCAATTCAGGCGGTTCATGGACAAGCGGTGGTTCTCGCGGAAGTTTCGGCGGAGGAATAACGACAGGCACTACTTCGGGCGGTTCATGGACGAGCGGTGGTTCTCGAGGAAACTTAGTAGAAGGAACGTCAGGTGGATCATGGACTAGCGGCGATTCTCGTGGAAGTTTCGGCGGAGGAATAACCACAGGCACTACTTCGGGCGGTTCATGGACCAGCGGTGAATCTCGTGGAAGTTTCGGCGGAGGAATAACGACAGGCACTACTTCGGGCGGTTCATGGACGAGGGGTGATTCTCGCGGGAGCTTTGGGGGCGGAGGGATAGTCAGCGGCGGTTCCGGAGGCTCCCGGACAAACAGCGGTTCTGGCGGAAACAAAGGGGGCATCATATCGACCGCTGTAGGAATTGCAGACGATATCGTCACAGTAAGTTCATTTGATTCGGCCGTTAGACTTATTGGTTCGTGTCCTCCATGAAAGTCATTGATAATTTCCGAATCATGTGAACAGGCACCGTTCCGTGTCTTGGGTGGACTCACAGGTGGCGGTTCTGGCGGGTCTGGCGGTTCAAACACAGTCGGTCGGGGAGGCATCATATCTAAAACTGTAGGACTCGCAGACGATATTATATCAGTAAGGATTGTTCCTTATTATCGTAATCATTCGCAAATATAAATACAAACACGTGTTACCAATATTTTGCATATTCCTAAACATATGATAAAACATGCTTTCAATCGTTTTTCTATAGACACCCTTCCGTATACTTGGTGATATCACGGAAAGTAATTCGGGCGGTGGAGGATCCTCCGGTGGTTCCAGCGGTTCTGGCAAGAAAGGTGGAGGAATTGTCTCCGGTGCTCTGGGAATCGCAGATGATATCGTTACTGTGAGTATTTTTTGTTAACCGTGGGAGAGATTTACCAATTAATCTATTTCAAAATGATCAATAATCTGTTGTTTCATAATTATAGGCACCGTTCCGTGTGTTTGGATAAAATCTCCTCTCTAAGATGACAATTACATGACAGTCTTAGGTGAGGAGTCTCATCGAGGAATTATGCATCTGTTGGATAACTCGTACAGTTTTTATGAATCATGTAATCGTAACTCTGAGAAGAAATAAAAATATTCACAACCCTTGACTTTCGTCTGAATTCAAATGAAATTTTAATGCAACTCGTGTAATATCGTTGCATTGCTGAGTAATGCTTCATGATTCATGCGTCAACAATTCCCGTGTCATTATTTCTTTTTTTCTATTCGGTTGTACTTGCGCAGGTCACACATACCAATTTCCATCAATCAAAAGACACGTCTGATAAGCGCGGTGGGTAGCCACATGAGTCACCAATCCTTGAAAAAAAGTTTTTCTTGCTTTTTCTTTCCCTTATGAATTTTTCGTTTCCTTTTTGTCATTTTTTGGAAGTCTTGCTCAGTTTTGGTGATAAAAGTTCATGTGAAAACGGATTAGTTCATCATTGAACAGCTAATTGTTGAAAAAAATGCACCGGTTGAGAGAGGTAAATGTTTTTCCCACACTTTCACGCTCTACGAAAGCAAAAACAATAAATAAGTAGTAATGACTCAGCTCGACCTGTCCGTAGTTATCGAAAAGAAGACGAATTGAGCGACTGCCCGCAATAACAAAGGCAAAGGTGATAACAATAAATGCTTGTGAAAATGATCGGGGAACAGCCCTCAATTTCTTCGATTCCACTGTCGAAAGCAGTCATAAAAATGCGGAGAGTACTGTTGATATTTCTCGTCATCTTTGTGGCCGATTGTTATGGGGCACCTCAATTTATACGAGATGTGAGTGAACTTATTCTCCCGGTCTCATTTTTTTTCTCATAAAATAATTTTTCAATTCTGTAGCCGTTTAGCGGATTGCGAGGTATAGGCGACGGCCTTGGAAGTGTAATCCTTGGCTTGAGTGCTCCGAATGGAGGACCAGGTGACAATGGTTCGATTGGCTCGGAGGGTACCGATGCAGGTGGCCCAGGATCAGATACGGAAGATTCGGATGAAGGTATCGTTAAGCGTATAGTAAATGCGATCCCCGGTATTGGGAGTAGCAGATCAAGCTCAAGAGAGGAAGATGGCTCCGGTGGAGACAATAATTCGTCTGGTTTCGGGTCAGGGGGAGGAGGATCAGGGGGTAGTAACGACGATGCGGCCGGTTCAAGGTCAGATGAAGGAGGGCCAGGAACTAATAATGACGGAGCGGGTGGTCAAGGATCACGTGAAGACGCTGGTAGAAACGTTGATTCGAATAGTGGATCGGATGATAATAGTTCGGGCCCGGGGGGGAGTAATGTGGACAACTCAGGAGCTGACTCTCAAGCTTCTGATGAAGGTATCGTTGGGCGTATAGTGAATGGCATCCCTGGTTTCGATAGTGGGAGATCTAGCTCAAGAGAAGAAGATGGCTCCGAAGGAGGACCAGGGGGTAGTAATGATGGTGCGGCCGGTTCAAGGTCAGATGGAGGAGGGCCAGAAAGTAATAACGATGGAGCGGCTGATCAAGGGTCGAACTCATCAGATAATAGTTCGGCGGGCCCGGGGGGGAGTAATGCAGACGATCCAGGAGCAGACTCGCAAGATTCTGATGAAGGTATCGTTAGGCGTATAGAGAATGTTATCCCTGGTTTCGGGAGATCTAGCTCAAAAGAAGAAGATGGCTCCGATGGAGATAGTAATTCGTCTGGTTCTGAGTCAGGGGAAGGAGGACCAGGGGGTAGCAATGATGGGATGGCCGGTCCAGGATCAAGTGAAGGAGGACCAGAGGGTAATAATGGTGACGCGGTTGGTTCAAGGGCAGGCGGAGAAGGGGTAGGAAGTAATAACGATGAAGCGGCTGGTCAAGGGTCAAGTTCATCAGATAATAGTTCGGCTGGGCCGGGGAGGAGTAATGCAGACGATCCAGGAGCAGACTCACAAGATTCTGATGAAGGTATCGTTAGGCGTATAGAGAATATTATCCCTGGTTTTGGGAGTGGGAGATCGAGCTCAAGAGAAGAAGATAGCTCCGATGGAGACAATAATTCGTCTGGTTCCGAGTCAGGCGGAGGGGAACCAGGGGATAGTAATGACGGAGTGGTCGGTTCCGGATCGGGTGAAGAAGGACCAGGAATTCGAAATGACGAACGGGGTAGTTCAGGGTCCCAAGGAAATAATGACGGAACGTCCGATCGGGGATCAGGTGAAAACGCTAGTAATGAAGCCGGTCCGGATGATGGATCAAATGATAATGGTTCGACTGACCTGGGGGAGAATAATGCAGGTGGCCCAGGGTCAGACTCACAAAATTCCGGTGAAGGTATTGTTGGGCGAATTGTGAATGCTATCCCGGGTTTTGGCAGTAGCAGCTCAAGCTCAGGGGAAGAAGATAGCCGTGAGAGAGAGAGTAACTCCGCTAGTTCAGGATCAGGTGAAGGAGGAGCAGGAACTATTAACGATGGAACTACTGGTTCAGGGTCAGGTGAAGACGGACCAGATAGTCGTAATGATGGCGCGGCCGGTTCAGGATCAGGTGGAGGGGGATCCGGAGGTAATAATGATCGAGCGGACGGTGAAGGGTCAGGTGGAGCAGAACCAGATGGTAATAATGATGAAACTGCCGGTTCCGGTTCAGGTGATGACGGACCAGGTAGTCGTAAGGATGGCGCGGCCGGTTCAGGGTCAAGTGTAGCAGGCCCAGATGGTGATAATGATGGCGCGGCCGGTTCCGGGTCAGGTAGAGCAGGCCCAGATGGTGATAATGATGAAACTGCCGGTTCCGGTTCAGGTGAAGATGGACCAGATAGTCGTAATGATGGCGTGGTCGGTTCAGGATCAGGTGGAGGGGGATCCGGAGGTAATAACGATCGAGCGGACGGTAAAGGGTCAGGTGAAGCAGGACCAGGTGATAATAATGATGGAACTGCCGGTTCCGGTTCAGGTGGAGACGGACCAGGTAGTCGTAATGATGGTGTGGCCGGTTCAGGTTCAGGTGGAGCAGGCCCAGATGGTGATAATGATGGCGCGGCCGATTCAGGGTCAGGTGGAACAGGCCCAGATAGTGATAATGATGAAACTGCCGGTTCAGGGTCAGGTGGAGCAGGCCCAGATGGTGATAATGATGAAACTGCCGGTTCTGGTTCAGGTGAAGACGGACCAGGTAGTCGTAATGATGGCGCAGCCGGTTCAGGGTCGGGTGTAGCAGGCCCAGATGGTGATAATGATGGCGCGACTGGTTCAGGGTCTGATGGAGCAGGCCCAGATGGTGATAATGATGGCGCCCCCGGTTCAGGGTCAGGTGGAGTAGGACCAGGAGGTAATAATGATCGAGCGGGCGGTGAAGGGTCAGGAAGTCCAAGAGGCAGTGATTCAGGTAATCGAGGATCGGGCGGAGGAAGTGCAGAAGTCACTGGAAGCTCCAGTGAGGAAGAATCCAGCCCAGGTGCAGGTGGTCCTGGGAGTAACAATTCAGCTGGCTCCAATTCAGGGGGAGAAGTCCCGAAAGATAATAATTCATTTGCAGGTTCAGGTGCGGGTGGTCCAGGAGGCGATGATTCACCTTCTCCAGGGTCGGAAGGAGGAGGTAATGATTCAGCTGGCCCAGGCTCGGGGCAACCAGCAGGTGGAAACAATTCTGAACCCAACGCGGGGGATCAGGACAGTTCCAGTAGTTCAAGCTCCAGTGAGGAATTATCTGGAGGTGACGGCAACTCCGCAAGCGAAGAGAGCTCCGGCCCAGACTCCAGTGTAACGGGACTCCTCGGTCTCGCACTTGTGAGCATTTTCTTTCCAATTATCCGTCCTTCATCGATATTTTAGTAAGACGTAATTAATACTCGATTACATTCACAGATACCCTTGACACCCTTAACGCTTTTGGGCTCTCTCTTCACATAAATTATATGCCAGCAGGATCTCTCCAACCGCACTGGACGATATCGCCAATCAATAAAAAGAAATTCTTTGATCAATCAATACCCGGATGTATTTCAAAACCAACTTTGACACCTCGTTGAATTATGGATTCGTCGATTCAAGTAGAAAAATTGACAGCTCAAAACCTTGTACCAATTTTGGAGAAATACTTCCACTGAATAAACCATTTAATAAGTACTCTACGTTTAGCAATTATTCCCGAAGTCATGATGATATCACTGAGAAAAAAATATATAATTCTGCCAATGAAATTTGTGTCAGACAAACAAACGCCAGAAATTTCCATACAAAATTTGCCTGTAAATTCTCCTCTGGAACAAATTTGATTGGCAGAATTGTATTTTCTTCTCAGTGATCGCCCATTCACATGTTAATGTTACAGTACTTACTCTCGGCATTACCCATCTCCCACCGATGAAAGTTGAATTTTTGAATGCCACAGGTGTAGTGTACACGATCGTGCCTGAATTCTTTGAACTTGCGCGGGGAAAAACGTTGAAAGAGAAAGTACACACCGAAGATGTTGTAAGATACCGACGCCCGGGGACTCACCGAAGAGAGTCAGTCTCTGGACAACTGTGCGTGGTGCAGTGTGCTCTCGAACCGTGATTTTTTAGCGCTCATGAGTCGCATGTAAATAGGCCAAGAGGCGCTGGTAATTTTCCAATCAATAAACATCAATGAAAGATGTCCTCAAAGTATTGTTGCACACTTGTCTTTGCGGCGATTTTCACTGCTGGTCTAGTGTCCTCGAGGCCTACAAATGGGCCGACAAAAATTTCGCTGGATAAGCCGCATGATATTGGGGATAACAACATCATAAGAACTGCATCGAAGTGGGAACGCGGCATGGTAATGATCAATCATGAGATATTTCAATGATCCCTGTCACCTCTTGATGTCAATCAATAGGATAATGAAGCTATTTTGGAGAAATAAAATTCAAGTACCTCCTGGAATTATCCGTTGTAGGACCTATTAGGCCAAATTATGGACGCACTAAGAATCGGCAGAGGGAGATTAGTGAATTTTGCAATGATGGCTAGAAACATCATTGCCGAACGGGCGGAGGTAACTGTATTTTAACTTTTCAAAAATTACGTAAAGAAAAAGTTTTCAGTTGAAAAGAAATTAAAACTCTCTCGTGTTAAATGTCGTGAACATAGAATTTCAATTTATGCTAAGATTGTTCTTGAAAATCAGATGTATATGTTTTAATTCTCAGAAATTTGTGTTGACATTCTGCAATTGTCCCTTTATTTTAATAAAATTTTAGTTGTTTAATTTAGAACATTCTCGTCCTCGTTCTCTCGTTCTCGTGTTTAAAATGTCTTTCATCTCCGAAATTTACAATCCGATCTCGATGTAGTTCTCGTTTTCATTCATGAATTGATGACTATTTCCGTGTTAAAATTGATCTACTCATTTCTGAAATCTCTTTCATCCCCGAAATTGATAGTCCTCCCTCAATATAATTCAGTAACTTTTCCTCTGCGTAACAACAATCAAAGTTCCCTCAAGCATGCACCTCTTAAATAAAAATATCACTTCATATTCCTTCAGAATACTTTCACAATTCATTGATATATAGTCGACATGAAAAATGCTTCGAGGTGATCAACAATCACGACGCTAATAAACTATCAATCGTAGCCAGCGAATTCTAGAACAAATTTCATAGGCAGTATAACTGACCAAAGGAGATGCTTAACGAATTTCACAACAAACCGTCAAGGCGTTTAGCATACAAAAGACTAAAAGGCACTTGCGAAATGCTCAGCTCTCGCCCCTCCCCTGAATATTTATCCACAACCATTATGATGATTTTCAGGAGTTCACGAGTGAAGCCTCAAACAAGGTGATTGCGGTTCTGGCGGCGAGAGAAGCGAAGCAAATCATAAAGAAGGTTGAGGCTAAAAAATCGCAGGAGCGCGCTCTGAAGAAGGTCGAGCCGAAGAAATTGGAAGCGAAAGTGTCGGAAAAATCTGAACCGCAGAGAACTGTGAAGAGGAGCACAATCGAGGCGTTTAGTGGGACTCCAGTCAAAACTAGTCCAATCTCCGACTTTTTTCCTCCGAAAACTCGAGAGACTGTTCGTCTCGAGACGGAAGCTGGACAATCTCTCTTTGAAATAAAGAAGAAAACGCCAGTGCAGGACTTACTGCAGGCCATGTTCGCGCCCAAACCTCTGTTGGACCGAACGACGGAGGAGGAGAAGTACGGAAACTCGGGGGATAAGTTCAGTGGCGTTGGGAGGGCTCTCGTCAACGGCTTCGAGGCCCTCAGCAATTTTTTGAATTCCGCGGTTGACGTAAGTCCGGGGGTAGCGAAAGCCCATGTCTTCTCCGACAATTCACCCGAAGACACGTCTTCCTACACTGATAGAAAAGGTGGAAGGATTCAGTTGCATCAAATGAGGCTTCTTAACTGTTACCGCGATTCGTCAATAGTTAACGAATCGTGGTAATTGTTAAAAAGTCTCGTTTGGTTCGACTAAACCGTTCTATCAGTGTATTCCTCTTCGTCGATGGCCCTTGTGTGGAGGGCATGAGAAAATTCGGGTGAATTCCACAGGTCGCTATTAACGAATTTAAACATTTTTGAGACATCGCATATAATATCGTGAATTCTCGCATACATTGTTAAAAAAATTTTACTGAAATTTTTAGTAAGAGTTCTGGAAATTTCTAACAAGTAACGCTTCCACTGAAATTCCAAGGAATTTTGCTTTCGTCACAATATAGTCAATATATTTTTGCAAATAAACTAACAATTTGCTTCCGAATGGAATTTCTATGACGATGTATTTTAAATTCAATTCAATCAATGACTCCTTGAACATTGCCCCGACGTTAAAATTGTTTACCTTTCCTTGAAAATTCGTTTCAAAATGACTTTTTTCAGCAACAGACGATGCAATCGATCTCATGATCGAATTCGATCAAAGTTGCATTGGGAAGAATATCTTAAATCGCAATTGGGTTCATTTAAACAATTATTTCGTCAGGTATCGTCATAGTCTGAACAATAGCATATTCGAACTCCAGAGGCCAAAATTCATTATACTGACACAAAAATTGGAGATTTTGGATTTACCCAATACAATGCTTCCATTCGCGAGCAACGAGGTTGTTTTTTTGTGAGAACTTGACTTTAATTGGTCTTACAAAATTCCGGTTGTTGATACCACTCATAAATTTTGATAATAACTTCAATTCATCAAATGACATTGTTATTAAAGATTGTCTCCGTACGAATTCTCGAGCGTGAATTGTCGAGGAAGAACTGTCGTGCAGCCAGTCCATGTTGTCTTATCAATCGACCCCCTAATAAACTTCACGTCGTAATTGCAGTTGCCGGTGAATGCAGCGAAGAAAACATCGAGAGGCCTCACCGCCGCGCTGAACCAAGTTGGAGGAAAATTGATAGGTTTGGAGTAGGTGTATACCATAATGAGATTGTAGGCCATAAGTCATTCGGTAATAAATACATTTAGTTTATGTTCTAGATAATTTAACTCATTCATTCTTCGGTATTTTACATTCGATGGGGTACTTACACTAGAGAATTATTCCTGCAATTTCAAGTTAAAAATCTTGAAATTTTTAGTATCGACTAATTCACGTGAAATTCATGGAATACTCAATCAAATCGCAAGTTTTAGGTGCATATGATAATCAAAACTATTAAAATTTTCAACCTATTGAAAATTCAATTAAATAAGTTCAATTTTTACAATTCATTTGAGAACTTAAGCTGTTTCGTTGAATTTCTTTGAATTTCCAAGACTAATAAGACATTTTCCGAACCTTTTTTTATTCTGGATTGAATTCAAATGCAGCTATGGCTTAAATTCCAAAGGACTACTTACAGTGTAAGGACGCACGAACTACTTGCAGAAGAATTTACAGTGTTTCAAAATTTAATAATACGGAAATACGCAATTATACTAGGATAATTTCAATTGAATGTTCTTAGAATACTCTAGAATACTCTACTCTCGAATTCAGAACTTAATTTTTGAAGAGATTTTCCTCCCTTTGAAAATTGAAATTCTTCTAAAATTCTTAATATTAATTTTTTCCATCAAGAATTATTCTATTGTCACCAAAAGTTCACATTATCCTATAATCTCCCTCAAAAATGCTTCACTCGAGACTTTCTGTTCTCCAGTTGGTAATCTCAATCCAAGAATAAATCTCCATTGAAATTAGCCTTCTCCAGGTGCATGGAGAGAAATTTTTTAGAAAAATTCTAGTGCTAGCACCGGAAAAGAGGCGCAAAGTGACGGCCAGGATAAAATTCCAGTGCCGGCACTAGAAAATTTATTGGGGAAAACGTGAATTTTTCCCCGTATTTCTGTAAAAATTTCACAGAAATCCCCAGAAATTTTACCAGAAATACCAAGAAATTTTACCTGAACAGCACTAGAATTTTTCACAGCCGGTGGATTGTGATTTTTTCCAGTGCTCGTACTAGAATTTTTCTAGAAAATTTCTCTCCGTGTGTGTAAACAATAATACAACAATTAAATTACTCTTACTCCTAACGATTAATCGATAATAAACCCCTAATACGCAACTTTGGATGTGCTCGGTGAGCCCAAGCATTTAAAGCTCATTGATCATTCGATCCTCACGCAAAATGCATCGTATCACTCTACCAGAATCTTCGAAAAAAATCATGACAGTTTTCTACGCTCAGAGAGAAAATGAATCATGTAGTCCCCCTCTCACCCTCGAAACCTCAAACCTTCGCAATAAAATGACGAGAGTTCCTCAAGAGTATTTTGTTTTTTTTTTCGAAGAAATTGTCCATGAGAATTCTAAATAGCATGCGAGAGTCCTCATGCAGCAGTTTCTTCAGTGATCGCGGTCTCGTGGATCCCGTATGCCGGGATCCACGCGCGTTCCTAGGTGTTGGCAGTGTCGTAGCTCTTGTAGGAGTGGGAAGCCTTCTTGTGCCTGACTGTGCAGAAGAGGATCATGCTGGCGATGAGCCCGAAGAGCTGGAGGAAGGCGACAACTAGGCCGATTGTCCCGACAATGTGGAGCCTCGTGACAAATCCCATTTGAATTGCTGAGGCGCAACCGTCTTTGTACCACAATTCTTTTTTGTGACCGTCGGGGTCTGGTCTACCGCAGTATCTCTCGCGCGTTATGCAGCAGGAGTCTGGCACTCTGTCGTCATTCGGCCAGGCGGATATTTGGAACCAGTCGGTGTAGTCGCGGACTCCGCAGCAATGGAACTAGAAGAATTTTATGGGAGGAAATCATTAAGGAGAGTAGCGAAGCGGTAAAATGATTCAAGATTTAGATCTGGGCTGAATTCTCGAGGAATAGCTCCGAATCGAAGGGAGATGGCGACATTTTTGTAATGAGCTTTTTTGTTGGGCGAATTGAAGGCTGCAAAGAAGGTTATAATAAAAATTTTGCTATCAGCCTCAGATTCCGAGATATTCACTGGAAACTGATTTATTTGACCGCTTTGGTACTGTATTATGATATTCGTTGTTGAACGGTTTGTGAAGTTGCATTCGAATTGGCTTCTTGCGATTGTATCTTCATCAAATAAGAATGAAAAATAAACATATGGTAACAGTGCAAAAAACACTATTTGAAATGAAAACTTCATTTCGTAATATTAAATTCTATTTAAAGAAAAAATGATTATGAAATTTCAAGTTTTTGGTGGAATTCAATGAAATTTTTTAGTTTTCTGTAAAAGATAAGTGAAAATTTTACTGATTATTTTAATTTTCAACGGAATAATTGAACAGAAATTCAGAAGTTCATTTCATTTTTTTCTTGAGTGGATAATTAGAAAATCGAAAAACGATTGATTTTTAAACAAAGGGATTCCCTGAAATTTCACAAAATCTGTTGACATTTCTTCTCAGGATTATATATCAATGAAATAATTACAAAATTGAAGTGAAAAGTTAAATTAGGAAGTAAATTCTTATTACTCTCTGCTGAATGTCATCCCAAATAGTTGCCAACGTCCCTGGCTCCCTCGTGATATTGTAGTGCTCCTGAATTCCAGACAAAAGCTCATGCTTCAGACTCCTCGACACTTGCTCTCGGAATATGAACGCCAGGGCTCCAAACATGAATTCACCCAGGAACATCATCACCACCAGACTAAAGTACTGAAAGTTTTCGCTTGAAAATTCATTTGATAATTTTCAGTTCCTCTTCTTCCCATTATGTTCTTCACTTTTTGTGTTTTTAGTTTTACAATTTAGTGTTTTTTCTTATCAGAGACTTATTTTGAGTCCCCGAGGATAATAATAATTAATAATAAATGAATAAATAATTAATTAATTAAAATAATTAATAATTAAATTTGAAAAACAGAGATTTTTTTGGGAATAAATATTCAGATATTACACCACGCATGTTTTTTACATTCAAGACCCTCCCCCCCCAATTACAAGCCGTTACAAACTGCCCCCCTTGTTACGTCACAAAATTGAAGTTTTTTTAACAAAAATAAGAACAAAAAGATGAAAGATTAGTTGAAAAATTAAATCTTTATGCGATGTTTATTGAACACTTCGGAACTTATTAAATTCTTGAATATCGCAGCATTCAGAAATTCCTCTTCATTGAATCTTTGGCATAATTTGAAAAACTGGTGAAACCTTTTTTTTCGTGAGAAAAAAAAACTTCTTTTTGATTTAAAAATTAAAAAAAAAAATGTGACATCACAATTGGAGCATCTCTCTCCCCCGTTCGTTCAACCCTCCCTCCCCCCTCTCCATCAATCATTTTGCATAATATTTAAATGAAATTCTGAATAAAATTCCCTGCTGAGTCGTCCCTAGAAGACAAAACGTAGACTTCAGCATAAAGAAATCTTTGTTTTTGAAACTCATTATTGATAATTGTTTTAGTAATTTCTGCAATCTTAATTTAATGAATATTGGAGTACTAACCAATATCAGCATGAACCTCAGCTGGAACCATGCCCCACAGCACCCGAGAAACGCAATGACAAACATGACGCATCCTGCAGCAAGTAGAATAGACTCGGCCGATATAAAACTGTACTGGGGTACAAGTGTAATGTACCCACGGTACGACAAAGTAAGCCACAGATCAGCCCCCAGCACTCCACAGGCGCACAACTATCCCATAAACGTAGGAAAAAAAAGGTCAAATAAAAAGCAGTACTTGTGAAGTAGAAGCTGTGGAAAGTACGCGAAAAAGAAAAGTCGTTTCACTTGAGAGATGGGGGACACTTGTGGCGTCGAGAGGCTGTAAAACTGAGAGTTTACACATTATTGTTCGCTGCATACACTCAACGCAGCGGTAAAATTTTTTTCACACTGAACTTCAAGCCCGTGATAATTCTCGGATGAGTGTAAATCAGGGTTAATCTATCGCTGTAAAAACTGGCGTGTTCAAAACGTTTTCATTTAAGAGGTTTAATTTAAAACTTTTCATTCACAAAAATATCAATTCTTGAGATTTTGTACTTACGGGAAGGGTAAAATATCCGATTTATTTTGGTCCTTTAGTTTTTTTATTTTCAAGTTATCTCTATTTTTAGTGCATTTACTTTAATTATCTTGTTATACATATAGCCCTGGGGACATCATTTTTTGTATGAGCATCATTAAAAACTAGTGGCGGTAAAATGTCTCAATTTAAGACATCAGTCTCACAAATGTGTCGCATCGATTAACTTCGTGATCACTGAAATTTCGAATGTCTCAAAATAAGATGGTTTTTCTGTCTAAAAATAAGATGTTTGAAAGACAAAACACATTCATTGATTAAATTTATAATTTATCTCATATTTTATAATTTATCACGGCGGCACTACGACAAGACATTAACCTCATTAAAACATAAAATCATAAAACGTTTTTGGTGATTCATGTATTTTATTCTGATTTATTGCAATTCCGTATTTACTGAGGGCCAAATGGGTTACAAGGGTGGAAGATGTCAAATAAATTAAAAAATAGTATCATTGCAAGATCAGAAGGGCGTAAAAACCTAAGGAAAAATACTTTTCATCAGTATTCATGATCACAAAAGTCCTTTTATCCATACGATGAGAAAAAAAAATTATGTGCGCCAAGGAATAATTTTCTTTGGAGAAGAATTTGTTTATTTAGGAGCGTATTTTTCGATAATTACGTGATGATTATGCTACATATGACCGTGAATAAACTTCATTCACAATTATTAACATTAGAAGTATTTCAAATTATTTTACGTAGGAAACTCAAATTTTAAAAAATTGAAAAATAATGAAGGGTTTTCATTGAAGGTCATATGTAGCATAAACGTCGCATAATTCAGCATAATTATAATATTTGGAGGTGGACATGGACCGACTGGGAATCATTTTCCTGGAAAAAAACGCTCTTAAACAAATAAATTCTTCTCCCTAGAAAATGATTTCTTTTAAATGTTTTAAAATTTTTGTCTCAGTGTATTCTCTTAATTCCTTTCAAATTCTGATTTATGATCGCTATTTTTAACGTAATAAAAATTATCAGTAAAAAAGGCATTGGCTCTTTTCAAGGGAAATTGTCGATTGAGAAAAAATAAACGAAGTATTCGGAAAAAAAATGAGACATCATAAATTTTAGACAAAAAATCCTCGAGTAAAACAGCTGAAATATCTAGAACGTATGTCTTCATTTGAGACACTAAATATCACGCAAATTTGGGGATTCAAACGTCCTGACAAAAGGACAAATATGTTTGTACTGCAGACACTAGTTTTCCTCGTGTGCACGGAAATAATTACGGATTCCATCGACCCAAATATCGATTTATTTACCCATTCGACATGGAGCATTAGAGACTACGAGTTCACGAGTATCTGAAGTAGAACGTGTTCTCTAATGTTCCAATTGCTCAGGGAAATCACGGGTACGTGAGTTCTTACCCAGATGAGTACGTTGAGCGAGCAGAATACGTGCCTAATGCACGTGTATCCAGTGTGACCCATGTCGCTCGACCTTGGAGAATCAAACTGCGCTTCGATGCTTACCTGAAAGCATTTGGGATTCATATGATGAATAATAAGTGTTGGGGTTCTTTCACGTGGGGAAAAGAGCGTGGGATTCAATAAAGGGAGATGAAGGGAAAATTGAATTTGAAAGGGTTTTTCAAATTACGGATTTCGAGAGAAGAAATTCCCCGATTTAATGTCCAGGATTGGTGAATCATCAATGATGAATTTACTGTGGTAACATAAATTTTCATTTCCTAAATGAAATTCTCGTTTTGTGAATAATTTTAGGGGAAAAAATCGAAACAAGAGAAAAAGGTTTGAAATGATTTGAAATTATTCGTAATAAAGAAACAGTGAAAAGTAATTTTGAAAAAATGGCACGATCAACCGCTACTTTTTCCTGAAACATTATTTTAATAATTTTAGTTTCTTTACATTTTATGCCAAATCATTGAACAATTTTATAATTTACCGGAATCAGGGGAAAAAATTACGATAATCGTTAAAAGGAGAGCAAGTTTTTTATTTCCTCCTTGACTCGGCGGTTTCACAAATCATGGCATTTGAGATTTATGATTTTACTGCGATACCCAGGTTTTAAAATATGAATATTGGTTTTTCTCATGAAAAATTATTTTGAAAAATTGTAATTTCCATACACTTTCTCCCAAAATCATTGAATAATTTTATTTTTCACCGGAAACAGTGAAAAAGAGATTACAATAATCGTTAAAGGGAGAGCAATTTTTTTATTGGCCGTGACTATTCGCACCATTGCGTGAATCACTCCCGTACACTCCATACACTCCACGCATGCGTGAAGTTTGTGTGTTTCACGCAGCCGAATTTTCATACTGCTGTGTATTTCACGCAGTTGAAGTTTCATACTACTGTGTGTTTCACGCAGTTGTATTTTTATACATCTGTGTGTTTCACGCAGTTGTATTTTTATACACCTGTGTGTTTCACGCAGTTGCATTTTGATACGCCTGTGTGTTTCACGCAGTTGTAGTTTTATACAACTGTGTGTTTCACGCAGTTGTATTTTTATACACCTGTGTGTTTCACGCAGTTGCATTTTTATACGCCTGTGTGTTTCACGCAGTTGTATTTTTATACACCTGTGTGTTTCACGCAGTTGCATTTTTATACGCCTGTGTGTTTCACGCAGTTGTATTTTTATACACCTGTGTGTTTCACGCAGTTGCATTTTTATACGCCTGTGTGTTTCACGCAGTTGTATTTTTATACACCTGTGTGTTTCACGCAGTTGCATTTTTATACGCCTGTGTGTTTCACGCAGTTGTATTTTTATACACCTGTGTGTTTCACGCAGTTGCATTTTTATACGCCTGTGTGTTTCACGCAGTTGTATTTTTATACACCTGTGTGTTTCACGCAGTTGCATTTTTATACGCCTGTGTGTTTCACGCAGTTGTATTTTTATACACCTGTGTGTTTCACGCAGTTGCATTTTTATACGCCTGTGTGTTTCACGCAGTTGTATTTTTATACACCTGTGTGTTTCACGCAGTTGCATTTTTATACGCCTGTGTGTTTCACGCAGTTGTATTTTTATACACCTGTGTGTTTCACGCAGTTGCATTTTTATACGCCTGTGTGTTTCACGCAGTTGTATTTTTATACACCTGTGTGTTTCACGCAGTTGCATTTTTATACGCCTGTGTGTTTCACGCAGTTGTATTTTTATACACCTGTGTGTTTCACGCAGTTGCATTTTTATACGCCTGTGTGTTTCACGCAGTTGTATTTTTATACACCTGTGTGTTTCACGCAGTTGCATTTTTATACGCCTGTGTGTTTCACGCAGTTGTATTTTTATACACCTGTGTGTTTCACGCAGTTGCATTTTTATACGCCTGTGTGTTTCACGCAGTTGTATTTTTATACACCTGTGTGTTTCACGCAGTTGCATTTTTATACGCCTGTGTGTTTCACGCAGTTGTATTTTTATACACCTGTGTGTTTCACGCAGTTGTATTTTTATACACCTGTGTGTTTCACGCAGTTGTATTTTTATACACCTGTGTTTCACGCAGTCTTATTCAGATACTCCTGTGTATTTCACACTCCTGTGTATATAAACACACAGGTGTATAAAACTTCAACTGCGTGAAACACACAGTAGTATAAAACTTCAACTGCGTGAAACACACAGTAGTATGAAACTTCAACTGCGTGAAATACACAGCAGTATGAAAATTCGGCTGCGTGAAATACACAAACTTCACGCATGCGTGGAGTGTATGGAGTGTACGGGAGTGATTCACGCAATGGTGCGAATAGTCACGGCCTTTTTTATTTCCTCTTTGACTCGGCGGTTTTACAAATCATGGCATTTGAGATTTATGATTTTATTGCGATACCCAGGTTTTAAAATATGAATATTTGTTTTTCCCATGAAAAATTATTTTGTAAAATTGTAATTTCTATACACTTTCTCCCAAAATCATTGAATAATTTTATTCTTCACTGGAAACAATATAAAAAAAATTACGATAATCGTTGAAACGAAAGCAAGTTTAATATTTTCTCCTCGACTCCGGGGTTTCAATAATCATGGCATTTGAGATTTATGATTTTACTGAGATTAAGTTTCAAAACATGAATATTTGTTGTCTAAGCAAAAATCCTTTCTGTCTGCATCTGTTGAAATTGAATCGAACATTGAAAACGTAACGAAACAGAGAAAAGTAATTGTTTTGAAAATGTCAAGACCATCTGCTACTGACTCTAAAAAATGATTTCTTCAATTGAACAATTTTTTTCGGCCGGAAACGTGAAAAAAATGAGGGGAATTGTTTAAAGGGGATCGAGTTTATTATTTCCTCATTGACTCCGGGGTTTCGCGCTCGAGTAGAAACAGCCATAATTTTTGTTTAGAATCAGCCATCAGTGGCTAACCAGCAGCTGATGAGTGCCGTTCGTGGCCTCTCGATCTACGGTGACTTCCAGGTCCCCTAACGGGACACATCCAGCAGCCAAGGCTTACACACCAATGCCACCTACACTTACAAACCGCTAGACCAATGCCAGTACATTGTTGTTGTACTTGCAGGCCATTCACTCTTACGACGATATGGAACAGTAGTTGCACGGGCGTCATCGAATATCCTTTTATGGATCGATTTCAATTTACAATAAAATGAACCGAATGGGATTGGCTGTCATGCTCCGAGGATTTTTCATAATTCAAAATGGCGAATTTATTAATCTATTGAGGTAAAGATAATGAAACGTCGAGGATATGTTTTAGTGATTATTAATTGCAAAAAATAAAAATTGAATTCACAATTATTTCATTATTTAGATCATCTCGGTATAAGAATTATAAATTTATAAATTCATCAAGAACAAAATAATGAAACTGAAATGTCGGGAATTAATTCCAAAGATTCAAATTGTAGATAATAAAAGATAAATTCCCCATTTTTGTTTTCATTTAGAATGGCCCGGCTACTATTCGATAATTGTGTCACTTGAAAAAACTGTGAATGAAATGATTTCCACGTTTGAATTATTTCAATGGTTGTCGAGGAAAAATTGCCATGAATATTGATTGCAAAAAATGAAAATTAAATTTATAATTGTTTTATTATCTAGATCATCTCATGAAGGATTATAAATTTATAAATTCATTGAGAACAAAATTATAAAATAGAAATGCCTGGAATAAGTTTCAGGAACGGAAATTATAGAAAATAGAGAAATAAATTTGTTTGTACTTCGAATGGTCTGTATTTCACAAAATGAAAATTAAATTCACAATATCTTTATTATTTAGATCATCTCGGTATAAAAATTATAAATTTATAAATTCATTAAAAACAAAATAATGAAATTGAAATGTCGGGAATTAATTCCAAAGATTCAAATTGTAGATAATAAAATATAAATTTCCAATTTCTGTTTTCATTTAGAATGGCCTGGGTATTATTCGCTAATTTTGTCACTCGACAAAACTGTGAGTGAAATGATTTCCACGTTTGAATTATTTCAATGGTTATCGAGGATAAATTTGAATGAATATTGATTGTAAAAAATAAAAATTAAATTTATAGTTATTTTATTATTTAGATCATCCCAATAATTATAAACTTATAAATCTATTAAAACGGAAATAATATAATAGAAATGTCTGGAATAAGTTCCTGAGATCGAAATGGGAAAAAAATGAAAAAACAAATTTCTATTTGTTTGCATTTAGACTGGTTTGGCCTTTATCCTCAAATTTGTCACTCGACAAAACCTCAAGTGCCCCTCAACCTCGTGATCGTACTCCAAAGTGGCTAGCGGTACCCGAAAAATTGAAATTATCTCCACGTTTGAGTCACCTCAACGGTTACCCCGATCTCCAAAACGAGGCCTCGAGGCGCAAACAAAAGAAAACCAACCAGACCTTTAAAAAAAAATAGACACAAGAAAAAAGGGCACACGGGGGCGTTTGCGTGTGTACAGAGAACGTATGCTCACGTAGGAGAGACTTTAAAGTCCCCTCCGACTTCCTGCCAATTGCTGGCAATTTGCAATCATCTATGATCCCCCCACATTGGGTTTGTAAAACCTCGCCTCGCCTCTAAAACCGTCGACCCGTTTCATCGAATTCACGCGGGACCAATGCTGAGATTAACACGTCCCACTCGGCCATTTATAATTTCAAAAATTTCCCACGTGACGCAACCCCTTTCCCACCCTCGAGCTATTTCAATAATTTTCACTGGTGTAAATAAAATAAACAAATTATCGTTCCGTTTCAAAATAGTCTTTTGTAAGATTATTATTGAAATGTTACATTAAAAGTTAAAATTCGATGAGAAAATTAGCGAAAACCATTAATTTCAGTATAAAATTCCAATAAATTGTAACAGTTATCATTTTTTCCTCAAAATTTAAGAATTTACTTCAATTTTCAGCCCAAAACTTGAGAATTAATTTTATTCATTTTATTTTAATTCGAATTTTATATCAATGCAACTTCAATGTCAGAGAGAACTCGTTTCCAAATATTTTAATTGATAAGTAAAACAAATATAAACAAACATAAAAAATTGCAAGACGCGTGTATACAAGAAAATTTAAATCGCCGTTTAAACATTTTTTGTGACATTTTTACTGAAATTTCCAGAACTTGATGTGAAAATCAGTGGAAATACTAAATTTCCATTAAATTATTGAGCAATAATTATTTGAAATTAGTAAAAATCAGGTGACTTAAACATTTCTATTTTATTCTGTCTTAAAACATACGAAATCATTTGAATTTTCAGCCACAACTTGAAACTTTACAAGTCTTTCACCCATAAATCGCTTTCAATTTCAATTTTCGTTACCAGCGCATTCAAAAGTCAGAGAAAACTCATTCCAAATTATTTGGATCGCAATGAAAAGAAATATAAACAAAACATAAAAAATTGCAAAACGCCATTTCCTCCAACATCAATTGAATTTATAACAGCTCGTGTACTGAAATTCTGCCACTTTTACGTATGTTGGAGGCAATTTATCACTCCGTGAAATTATGATAGAATTATAGCGTAATACAACACGAATGGAAAAGACTAGGCAAACGCCATTGATATGCAAACTCTGTATTGAATGAGTGCGATGATAAGCGTAGAATCGTCCTTGCGGTAATGACGGATGGATTTTATTCCCGATTACGTAAGTTGCTGTCGCCAGAATTGATCAAAACTGCTGTGATTGCGATTTTTCTGCTTCCGAGGTGTGGAATAACATTAAGAAGTGATGTTGAATAAAAAAATCGTGACTGTCAATTGACGAATGGAGAAAATGCACTGTTTTCTTTCCTTCTCAACGGTAATCGGTATGAAAGGAACGGAGAGTTTAGTCTGTGGGGCATCCCGTGCGGGTGATTTTGATACGCCGACCCTTCGATTCATCACGTAGACGTGCACGTCTGTAACGCGCTCTCGTTTTGTTCGGTGGGACGATAAAATTAATGCATAAAAGGCCTGACGTTCAGAGATAAATATTTTTCTCAAGCTCATTTCATTAGTGACAGCTGTGCTCAGACTGCAATCACATTGTCATCAAATTGTCGCAGTTAAGTCATTAAAATCACTGTCTTGTAATAGAAGATTTTTAAGAGAATGGGATTGAGTGAGTGGAAAAATATAATTGATAATAATTCAGTCATGTTTTATGATTGACTCAGGTCCGCTGTGGGAGATGGAATTTAATCTAAATGTCAATTGTTTTGTTAGAGTTATAAATTCCTGTCGTGCTGATAACGAAGTGTTGACTCTATTCTTGTTTTTTGAACGTGTATTGGAACATATTTTGAACGTGAATTCATGGGATACATGTGTGAATGGTGGAATGACGACTTACCTATTTTTGAGGCGAGTTTTCCTTCACTCAGACCAGGTGACAGATGTAAATCATGTGATTAAGTTCGAAGCGGTTCGGGGAGTCGCAAAGCCTGGACTGAAAGTCCGCGGGCTCGTGCGGAGATTCAAGTTTACGTGGGGGATAGTCGGCGGCAACAGCGCCTCTCGGGATTGGTTGCTAAGGTTTATTTGGGGGATTTGAATTTCTGAATTTTTTATTCGGATTTTTCGATTTTTGAGGGGATATGGAAATTGTCTATCATTTGGGAATTTTCTGTAGTTATGGAATGAAGTTGTAAAATATTATCAGGAAGATTTGAGGTACCTGAGGAGGTAGTGACTGTTGGTCATGAGAGATTCTATTTCATCCACAGATGATATATTCCATGTTAAAATGAATTTAGTACATATCACTAATTTATAATATATTATTTTCATGGAGGGGTTCCTGATAGAGCAAAAAAACGAGAGAAAAATTCAGTACTAAAGCGATAAAACGAAAAATTATCTTTTTTTTTGCTTTTTCATTATCGAATTGAAAAATTTGAAAAGTTTTCAATTATTTGATTAAGTGGATGTTGACTATTGGTTAGTTTTCAATAAATATCTCGGAATCTAAGCCAAATAGCGCAATAGCGCATAGTCTTTTTTGTAGAGCGAATTAAAAGCTGCAAAAAAGTTATCATAAAAATTTCGCCATCTCTCCTGACTTCAGAGATATTCTTCGAAGACTCAGTTAAGAGCTGAGTCGGCCTAAACCATTTTAACGTTTCGCTACCGATTTCCCAACGGAAATTTAAAAAAAACATGAAAGAAACCAAATTCTCGTATACACAATATTTCTCAAGTCCTTTCAAGTAATTATGGTTCTTGCATTGAACGAAATGATGAGTAACAAATGTTTAACGAAGGATTTGAGGATTGTATTGTTATATTTTTGAGAATGACTGTGAAATTAATAAACTGTACAGGGTGTGCCACGACCGACCCTGTTCCTTCGAGGGTATTGAAGAGAATGATTTTTGAAGTGGAAAGTTTCCCTTTCACATTTGGATTTGAGCACTTTTTCCCGTTTTTTGGAAAATGATTTTGAGCGCCATAGGACAAGAAGGGGGAGTGCAGCCATAGTTGGTTGCACATGTGCATCAAACGTGCTGAAAAGAAAAAAAAAGGAAAAAAAATTGAACAATTGGAATTTATAAATGAATAAAAACACTCCACTAGTCTTTTCAATATATATTTCGTATTCAAAATATAATAATGAACATTACACATGATGCTAGCTCATATCGTGACAGTCAGCGCTGACTGGCACTTTACAGTGGTACCGTGTAATAAATCTAGTCGAACGGCTAGCGTCTGGAAAAGGCAGATATGAGATCGGAAATACAAAAAGCTGCCCAAATCAGTCCCTTACGTTTGTCCACTTTTCCAAACCAAAAAAAAAACTCACAAACGTAACTGCCCAATTGGGCTTTAGACTCTCTTTCACTCGAAGTTGGGTCGTTGTTTTTTAAACTGTCATCCAGGACGTATCCGCTCGGCAAAAGTGTGGACTCGATTAGTAGGTGGGTATTTCCCTTCTGTTACTTTTTTCATTCTTTCACAAATAGCACTTGGTAATCCCTTTCTCGTGAAACTAAATTCCTTCTCTGACTGAGGAATTGAGGGATGAGAAGTTTATGGGAATAAACTCATCACTCCAATTCGCTCAATAACAGGATGATTCATGAGAAAGTATCAACCGTTCATCGAAAAATTGATTTTCATGAATATCAAAACGAATGAAAAGAAGATAATTAAACAAATCGTCAGACGCACAGACGTTTTTTGTTGGTTTTTTGCATCTGCAAAGTACTAGACGTTAGCTTCAGCATTCCTCCACTTCTTACGCATATAGTTATTATAATACATAGTCATTTAGTTACATAATTAGATCCAAAGTAATTTTTTTTCTTACGTAGGCAAGCGAGAAGCCCACTTACAAATTTTTTATTTACTCATGGTTTTTTTCGTTATCTCCTCATCTCGATTTTCCATCGTGTTTTCATAAGCCCCAAAACCCTTAAGAATAGTTAATTCAATATTTTTCGTTTCTTTTTTTCCGTATTTTTTTTGTTTTTTTTGTTTTCGTTTACTATACAAGTGGCAAGAAAAAACAACACTCAAACTGCCTTATCTACTAATATTTATAATAATTAGGTAATCATCACAGTGATAAACGAAAAATATATATATACTTCTTGTACACTTGATCGGTTTAATAATCGGTTGATCACTTCATTCATTTATTCCTTTTATTTATTTAAAAACATGGGTTTTTGTTCAATTTATAGCGTCTTTCCGTGGCACTTAACACACACTTACACATTGGATTCTCATTAAATTTCTTTGAATTAGTTAATCTCGTATTTAAATTTTTTCTTTTAATTTACAGATTTTCAGGATTTCAAAAAACTGTATGTTTATGCCTCCACTAAATACCTAGAAATTGTGTTAATCCGTCTTTTTGAATTTAGTACTTCTTTATTTTGTATTTTTTTCGTATTAAAAATGACGTCAGGTAAGGGCTTGTCACCCGGTATTCGTTAATTATTTACAATACATCTCGAGAAGCCCTCAGTGATATGGAAATATAGAAATCCCTCAGCTGCCGTTATTCTTCCATTAAAAATCAATCGTTCCCCTCACTTTTCAATCATAAACTCAAGCACTGAAATCAAATAATCGTAAAAACAAATTATACTGATTTACATGGGCCTTCCATTCTCGAATACCGAATTACAAGCCATTCATAAAAAATACCTAGTTATGTACAATAAAAAAAGTTTATCGAGGAGTTTATAGTTTAAACATTTCTCTCTCATCTTCAAAATTTCCTTTTGGCTATGTTTGTGCTTAGGCGTGTCGAATACCACAGAGTCTATGAATCCTACATCTGCATTATGAACCACAAGATAGGCCATAATAATTAGGTAAACAATTCGTTGATGCTGAAGATAAATAACTAGATCTGTCTGTAATAAAATCAATAAAAAAAGATTTGTTACTCTGTGATACGAACGTGGTCAGCAAGAATTTCCTCCACCATAAGTACAGTAACATCTCTCAAGTGTTCCTTTTTTCCATTATTAAACTATTTAAGAATTTTTCATTTTCTTCATCATTGGCCTGCCCTTAAAAAATCTTAAATCCAGTTAAGAATCGTTCCTCGGATTTTCATAAAAAAAAAGAATCCCTCCATTTTTCATTTATTTATTCATATAATAATATCAATAAACCGTAAACCTCTTTTCAATATATACTCCCTTAAAAACAGTCTTTATACATTATTTAAATCATTTATATACAGATGTGCAACTAGCTAAGTGAATAAAAATTGTTTCTTTATCTCTTATCATTTATTTTCCTCTCTTTTTTTCATCAATTTAATTTATAATTCTTTTTTTCGTCGTATCCACCGATCGGTAACGCCGCTCAGTCAGTTGGATCACAAACCAATCGAAAGTCTGACATTCGATTTATTTATCAATTTCCATAATGTTGTAATCTCTTCCGACACACGAACGTCGATCACTCATACCCTGATCGTATTTACAATTTTCATCGTTTATTATTTTTCACATATCTAATATCATCTTACAACTGGTCTGGAGGCTTTGATCTCAACAAAACGATGAATCCCATTTGTTCCATTGATTTAGAAATATTAGGCAATTATGAGCCCAGTGTGGTTTTTCGTCAACTGGACAACTTGAATAGACAAGAGGTATTGACATTAATCCTGTCATGAACAACTGCTGGGGTTTTGTTTGGTAATTGCAAATCCATTTGCATCGGTATCTCCCTCGTTTCCCAATTGAGACGTCGATCTAGTTTAATACAGAAACGAGGGACAACAGGAATTGCTGTGACAGATTCAATGTTACCCAACAGTATTTGGAGATATTGAATTGTTCTTCAGGCAATGATATCCATCCAAACGTTGAAAATTCTTCGTGAACAGTTCTGCCGTCAACGGAGGGGAGGGTGGGGCAGAGTGAACACTATTGACATTTTTTCAATGCTCATGACTCAGAAACACGTATTGAGTTCAGTCCAGGCTCATCACACAAGGAAAGAATTGTGGTCTCCATGAAAACAAAATTCCTCCATTTCAGTGATAATTCAACATCTCATTAACATTTCAGCAAAAGTCAGAAGTGTACGTTTCACCCCACTTACCCCTCAATAACAAACAATATCTTGAGGATTTTCCCCAATGCTCGAAAATAAAAGCTAAAAAATTTCACCTCTGGTGGAATTGTTTTCAACAATTCGAATTACTTAATTTACAAAATCCATTAAAATAACATGAACATTATTTACAATTTTAAAATACCAATGGGAGAATTGTTCACGATGAATTCGTGCATTTCGATCACTGTCAGTGACTATTGTCCTCCCACATTACTCATTCTTCAACGTCGAGGATGGAGAAAGACTAGAAAATGACTAATGTGAAAAGGCGCAAGTGTCTTTGCCTTGAGTCAACCTCAACGTATACAATTTCATTCACATTATTCTCACACTCAGCTTATCATTTTTGCTCATTACTCTCGGAAACCATTCAAAAGCAACCATACACAAACTGTACAGCTTCCTCAAGTTAGTTCAGTTGATTCATCATCGATGAATGCATTGAAGCTGAGTATGTGGTTTTTGTTCCTTTTTGTAACTAGGCCCGAATATAATTATCAGGAGTTTATACACATCATCTCGATAGTAATTTGCAGAGAATCGCAGCACCAGCAGCAAGAACCAGGGAGACTCTCGACAAGGACGAGGAGGAGGCTGCACTGGCTCTTGTTACATCTTCACAGATGCCTGAATATGAAAACATTCATTATAGGATGCATTATGTTATTTCAGTGTTGGAGAAGACTTGACCAAATATGCGTTCTCAAATCTTCAATTGCATTGGGACTAACAGAAAGAGAAAGAAATTGTTGTGTTTTTTAAACAATTCAAATTGCAGGTACAATTAACTAGTAATTTTTTAGGAGAGTGACATTTAATTCGATTTAGTCGGACGAAAATCATGAAATTTCCTATTTCATTGCAAACTCAAAGACTCTATTTACCTGAATTTTCCTGATTTCCATTCATTTCCATGGAACAATTGAACTAAATCTTTCAGTTTCCATTAATTTGTCCATAAAGTGTTCAATTTTCTACACCGAAATCCTTCAAAATTTGAGTGGGACTATAATGTGACGTGAATTCTTAGCAGGAAATTTCGACCAAAAAATAACAACTACAAAACGAGATCATTCTACATAATTTCGGGATGAGAGGAAAAGTTCTGACAATCTTTTTCACATCGAAATAATGAGAAGTTCAAAAAAGCACTTAAATGTGCATAATCTGCATGAATAAATGCCCCATGCCCTGTTCTTAATGCCTAACAAGTCGTGAGTATTCCCCTTACCTTGACTGGCCAGCCTGTAAGTCCATTGATCGTTGGCTCCTGTTTGAAACTCCCGCGCTGGTCTTGACAGCCATAATTCTTGCTCCTGATGTTCCAGCCTAGAGCCTCTACCACCAGGTGATTTAGACGGTGGATCTTCCCATCTCATCGTGAAGCAGAATGTCTTAACAACGCCAGGCTCACTCTCCGGTTGTGACACTATCATGTAATGTGTACCTTTCTTGTCCTGCCAGCTGTCGTGGCACGTGTACACTATTCCAAGACAAAGACAAAAAACGATAAATTAATCGAGTGCCATCCGTGATACACCATCTCATCCAATAATTCTCACCAAGCGCCATAAAACATGAACCACTTGATTCGGAATTCAAGAGATGGTGAATGAATGGAGTGGGAAATCAGATAAAATTGTTTTTCCCTCCCAACTTACCAAGTTGGTCACGTTCACACGTATTCGCAATAATCATTTCACTCTGATCGGATGAACCACATCCAATCTGTAGCTCAGATACGTTGCACTCCTCGTCCTCACTGTCCTCTTGCCAAGTCAATTTCTGGGCTGGTCGCATACCTTGCACACCTCTTCGTTGACGCCGTGGAGTGGTGGAGAGAACACCAGATGTCGAGTAATCAATGACTGTGTATCGGCCTGGTTGAGGACATTTTCTTTTCTCCATTGTCGAGGCTGTAAGATATTTACCTCATTGAAGCACATTATTCACGTAAAATGAAGTACGGAGATGTAAAAGTTTCTGGTTCAGAGAAAAAATGGGAATTTCAGAAACCTGTAACATTTCCACTTGTTCAGTGGAGTTGTTGGATTGTTGAATTAATGTATTCCCTTTTCTGGAGTGAATCTAGTCACGTTTTAACTGGGTTTTGAAATATCTCGGAAATTTATAATTCTCGATGTGACTCATAACTCCTTTGTTGAAAGTTGATAATTTTATTTAATTCATACTCAACAAATCCTAAACTGTATCCCTTTCCGAATGTTATTTCTAGAACACAAAGGTACTTTGTTCTGATAACCAGCAACTTTCTCTCTCGCTCCAGAGAAGAATAGTAAAAAGTCACTTTGAGGACGCAAAAATAAGAAAAATGAAAAGGATTTGACTGTGTACTGCCTGGTTGAGGGCATTATTCACGCAGAATGAAGTACCGAGAAGTAAAAGTTTCTCGTTTAGAGGAAGAATCTTTGAATTTCAGAAGTCTGTTACATTATCACTTATCCTGAGAGGATGTTTCCCAAAAATCAGAACAAAAGATCCCCATCTGAGTTATTTTGTACTTAAAAGCAGTAGAATTTTACTAAAATGAAGCTAGATCACAGTGTTGGATTGCTGAATTGATGTTTTTCTGAAATTTATAATTCTGTCTCAATGTGATTGATCACTCCTTTACTAAAAGGTTGACAACTTGACGTAATTAATGTTCAACTAATCCTAAACGCCATCCCTTTTGAATCTCTCTTTGAAAGTACCTTTACGTTCCTAGTCTAAGAACGACAAGATACTTTGTTCTGATAACGAGCAAGTTTTTCTCTCCTTGCGGAGAAAATTATCGGTCAAATCATTAAAAAATTGGAATTTAATGTCATGGAATCAAATGTCGAGATAACAGTAAGGAGAAACAAAAAGGATCTTTGAACTCATCTCATTTGGAAAATTACTCATGCATTCATCGGTCACAAAAGAAACATTAGAAAGTCTAAAAGCATTAGTGTACCGGACATTTCGAAGGGAGAAATATACATGAAATGGGGAAACGACAATCAGACGAATGGAAACCGTTCATCGTGATATGCAAAGCAACACCAACGATTCCCTGGAGGCATTTATCTTCGTCCAAGCGATACGATCGCCACCCAGCCATTATTGCCCTGCCAGTAATTCATTCCCTCGAGTCGTTCATAAATCAGAAATTATTGAAAAAATAAGGTGAAAGCAATGGTCGAGAATAGAAGGCAAATATTTTCAATTTTGATTGGCGTTACTCACATATTAGCGTTGTATACGGCATGTCCGACAGATCCTCCTGGCATGCCTCCTCTGGTACGATGGTTTTCCGATCTGAAAAATGGTGCGATAAATTTGTCAGAAATAGCCATTAATGTCGGTATCAATTATCCATTGGAATTCATGTACACTGTCAGAGGGAATGAGAAATTTCGTGGACAGTTGACTAGGAATTTACAAGAAAGTGACATTGAATTCTATTTAGCGCAGCAGAAAGTGTCAATGAATTGAAAATTCACCTGAAATGTCCTCATCTCTATCAATTTTCATGGAATAGTTGAGCGGAAATTTAATTATTCCATAAAATTTTCCTTGAAATTTCAGTGAAACTATAATGTGATAAAAATTCCCAAGAAATGCACCAAAAATTTCAGCGAAAAATGATTAACAGCGCAGAGTGGAGGTGAAAATTGATGGGAAAGTGTGTTTTATCAGTCCTCCAATAATTTCCGATCCCTCCGCATTGATCCAACGGTGAGAGTGTGATGGCACAATTGAATGAGTTGGAAAAAGAAATGAAAAGGGATGAAATTGATATTCAACTCACCTGATTGCTGGAGCTCGATAACGTTTCCGGCTCTTCTGTGGAAGATCATGCAGACGTAGCCAATATCGCTGCAATAAGAAGAGGCCATGAAGTATGGGAATGGAAAAAAAATGAGGGGGCTTGGGGGTTTATGAAAGAACGTCATGTCGCGTCAAAGGAAATATTTAAAAAGGCGACTCGACGATTCGTCAAACGAGTGGAATAAGAGAAAAGAGGGGGTGGGGGAGGGGTAGTACAAAAACGTCTCATTTCACCCATGACAATAAAATGGATAGAAAATGCAGAGAAAAAAATTGAATGAGACTGTAATAAATTCTGAAAAAAAATCCCGTTGAAAAAATTACAATGTAAAAGTAATGAATGATTCCTTTCAATTAAACTCCCTGAAAGAACATCAAAACATAATAGAGGGAAATGAATGAGGGAAAAAGAGTTTGAGTTTGAAAAACAAAGAATTTGTACCAGAGAACTTTGAGGAGAAAGAGAGATGAAAAATTAGTTAATTACTTTCGAAACTTACCATCCTTTGGTAATATGCGCAACAAGTTTAACTTTATTTCCTCCATCATCATCGCTCTTCTCTAAATTGTGACATACTATTCTCTCCACGTGTGAATGATCATCTTTAACGCGCAATGTTGCATTACCAGTTGTAAAGTGGTAATTTCTCGAGTGATCGAGAGTGCGCCATTGATGGCGTCTCGTCACCCAGGCGGGATACTTGCATCTGTTGTGCTCTCGATCGACTGTAATAAAGTTGCAATTGTCAGGGGTAATTTATTTTTTTATCGCAGGGGAAATAAGGCTTCAGTGTTGCAGTCGAGAGCCATCTTCATTCGAGTAATACCTTTTGTCAGTTTGATGGTACGTGAGCCCTCGGCAACGGAATTCAGAGCACTACATGTCGAGTCGCCGGACTGGGCGAGGACGTAGGTTACCTCTCCACTGCGGTGGTGGGTATTTTTTTCGTATAGGAAGCATCTGAAGTAATTTTAAGAATGAATTAAATTATTTCTTGGTGAATTAATCCAGTTACTTTATCAGTCGAAAAACTAGCGTCTGAAATTCAGACACTTTTGTTTCCTTTCTTAAGACGTCAGACCCTAAATTTGTTGTAAGTTTTAAAACATTCTAGGTACTTTACACGAGGATCCTTTGTTTCACACTTATGAGGTCTCATTTGTTTCCTCAGAAATTTAATTTATTTTTTCGCAAGGTTTTGCCATGTTGTATGAAAGAAGCCAATCATTTTGTCACTGATGATTTTAGTTACGTTAAAATAGCGGTCATGAAACTGAAATTGAAGGGAATTAAGAAAATAAGGATAGAAGAATTTTTGTTATCAAGAATACTGGTGAAGCGTTTTTCCTCAGATCAATGTTTTTGTGGTTTTTACGCCCTTCTGAATAAAGACAATACAGGTTAATAAAATGCTGCGGGCGGTTTATTAATTCCACAACAGAGTAAATACGATGTGTCTTGCACAAGAGCTCTAGAGAGACGGAATCAAATAATCATGTTACAAAGAGCTTGATATCCTCGGGAAGATCGACAACAATCAGAATTCGAAGGAGGATACGCAACCCCCTTCCACCCATCTCAATAAATTCAGAATTCAATAAATTTGAAGAAAATGCATAAGTCACCAAAAACGTCTTATGATTCCAAATCGCACTGGGGTTACTGTCTCGTCACAGTGCTGCCGTCAAAAATTACTAGTGACTGAATAGTCTTCAAGTGTTGTGCATTCAGACAGAAAAATGTCTAGTCTATCGAACCTCTTGTTTTTAGACGGAAACACCGTCTTATTTTAAGCCATTCGAAACTCCAGTCATCCCGATGTTAGCCGATACGTCACATTTTGGTGACTAACGTCCCAAATTGCGATACATATGTACAACACGATATCCGCAAATACGTAAAAAACAGATAACTCGAAAATAAAAGGGAAAACAAAACATCACAAATCAAACATTCCTTTCTGAATAGAAAGCCTAATCAATATTCCAGTTCTAGTCAAGCCTAAACACCATCAATTAATCCCTTCAAAACAGTATGCAGCATTCATATCAATTCCGCTAATTGCCCTCTTCCCCAATTAGAATCATTGCGTATAATTTTGCCTGTGACAGGAATCCTCTCGCATGGGTGCCACTTAAATTCTTTTCACTCGCAATCATTGAAAATTGACCGGTCAACAGCGGCATCCCATAATTGAACAGCATACGTATCACTGAGCAGTGGTAATGATTAATCGTTATATGATTGAATAAAATATCGTAAAATGTCATCGTCATTTATGCGATATTAATTGAGCAAAGCTTTTTGCGATAATTACCTGAACGTTTCCTCGTTAGTTACGGCATTCCTTCCAAATAGCTTGAGTGTACCAACCAAATATTTGTTTCTCCCGTCCTTCCAGGTTGCCAGGCACTGCAGTTCTTCCGCTGTGAAATAGACAAATTAACTACTTGGTACATTAAAACTACAAAATTATGAATTAATTCGCGTAATTTTCGACGTCGAATAACGCTTCATTGGAGGTCTTTTTCACGTGAAAATTGATTTGCTCAGTTCTGGTTGATAAATAATTCCGGTCCGGGCTTTCTGTCAACGGATGAAATTAATTTACCCAATTTTGGTAATTAAACATTGGTTGAGTGATGACAGCGGTATTTGGAGTACCCGGGGACCGGACAGATTAGTTATAATCAAACTGCGAGAGATAAAAGAAATATATACCACTGGGATTTGACGGCCCATGGAAGAATGATAATCAAATTAACTTGATAATCCATTTAGTTGACTTCGATCCACTGTTGCCTATTGCTGTGTTTTATTAAGCTACGATCTAACAGAAGCCCCACCGATTCGTCGGGTTTTTTGAGTGACACGGAATGTCATTGTCGCTTTATTTGCTTCGAAACCCTCAATTAAATGCTTCATGTGTCCTTCATTATTCAATCAATGGAAATGAATTTGGGTTTTCATCCGAATGTTTGTGGAAATACTTCTGAAACACTTTTTGTTTTCTTTCGTGAATGATTTCCATCGCTTTTTAATCGATTTTTTGCAGCAATTAAAAAAAATTTACTGGGAATTTTCTATTAATTAATTTGATTTCCACGTGTGTTTTATTTTCAGTATCAATTTTTTTTCAGCAAACAATGTCAAGGTCCTCGGATACCTGAATTAATATTGATTTGCATTTTTCACGCGGACTTGTTCTTGAATTGGGGATTTCATATTAATTGATTCGTTTTCACATGTATTTAATGATCTTCGTTTTTTTGTAAATATGTGCATGACCTTAGAATGTGGTGTTTCTTATTGTTATTCTTTTTTTTTCTTGTGGAGTCAGTTCTTGGCTTTTGAAGAATTGATGTTTTTGGGAAACATTCTTCCGGGAATATTTGAATTTCCAAAAAAAAAAATCGCAGAATGATGTCAACTCTTCGATGGCAATTGAAAAAAACAGAAAAATCTTCAAAGTCTTAAGAGATTAAAAAAAACTGACCAATTTTCGCCAAATTTGCGTGAAATGGAATATTTCTCTTCTTTCATAAATGATGATTATTCGCATTCGTTCTTGCTCACGATTCAGTGCAGTCAAACATCAGGAAATGTACTGGGCGCATTAATTCAGAAATAATAGAAAAAAAAATGTGAAAAACCCCAGGAGGTAAATAATTCAGGTAGAGGCAGAAAAAATCATAATGCGGATGAATAATCTTTGCGTTTATGTAAAAATTCCCCGGTTAATTCAATGTAGAATGCATAAACTCCATGGGTGTTTCGCAGTATAGGTTTTATGGTTGAAAAAAAATGGAGCCCGGGGTGGTGTGCAACCTCGGCCTTTCATTTTACCTTTCTTCTACTCAAGCTACTGGTGAAACTCACCCGATGAACGGGCATTCTGTGTACGCAATACACCTACCCCAGTTTCCTCACATTTCCACACTCACTCTTCTCGCTGGGTTCCTCGTAAATTTCAATAAATATCGGTGGAACGGCCCTGGTGGCGTCCGCAATTCAATTTCAAGTAATTGAGTTAAACATTTATATATCAATTTTTAATATGCAACCCATTTGCGTAATGAACAGAGCCCACCGGTATTCTGGGTACAATCACAATTTCAATATTTCGCGGGGAAATATTGTTTTGATTTTTTAAGGGATGTTATCGATATCTGGGGGGTGGAGTGTTTTCGGGGGGAGGGAGACTTTGAAATTCGATTTGGGGAGTTGTTTGCATTCATTCGGTTGTTGGAGAATTATTTGTTTGGAGTATAGAATAAATTCGATGAATAAACGGTCATGGAGATCTGGTTTTTAATTAAGAATTTCAGAGATAATTTTCAGAGAGAGGTTTTTCTCGAAATTTGTCTATTCTAATTAAATAATTAGCAATAATTGCATCGAGTAAATTGATAAATATTTTGAATTTATTCCCTTTCATCGATTAAATTCCCATTTCATCTCTCAATTTCACTATTTCCAGGGACATGAATATCGTTCTGATTATTTTAAAGGATATGATCGATATTTGGGGGATGGACTGTTTTCGGAGGACTTTGAAATTCGATTTGGGGAGTTGTATACCATGATTCGGTTGTTGGAGAACTATTTGCTTGGATATAAAATAAATTCGGTGAATAAATGATCATGAAGAACTGAATTTTAATTAAAAATTTCAGGAATTACTGTAGTCTAAGTAAATGATTGATTGAAAAAAATATTAAAAGGTTTGAGGAAGAATTTAATAAATATATTCATGAAAAGCTGTAATTAAATTTTAAAAATTTTTATTTTAATTAAATTCAGAAGCCTCCGTTAATGAGAGAGTTGTTCCTTTAAATTTTTCAATTCTCATTATAAGATAATCGCATTGAATGAATCGATAAATATTTGGCATTAATTTCCACTCATTTCCGTTCATCAATTGAATTCTCATTTCGTCTCCCAATTTCATTATATTATTCGGATTATTTCAAAGGATGATACCGATATCCGGTGAACACGCTATTTTCTTTGTCAAAAGAGTTTGAGGAAAATTCATTCGTTCTTTGAATGATTACAGAACCCCAATTATTTGATCAATATTTCACATTCAAACTCGACCAATTCCCTTGCTTCAACACTTGTACAAACCTAAACGTCAAACAAGTCCATTATTGTCTTAACAAATGACTGCCTAGCCATAACCCAAGAACTCAAATCCACTCAGTTCCTATTTTTGACCCCCTGCCATTACCGCGAAAACCCATTTGGGTACACACTTTAATGCGATTGCGTGTCACACATGATGTTTGTTCATGACCATTTTCTGCCATCCTTCACTGTCCTCCCGAGCCCATCAAAGAGTCACCCGACAGGTCTCGTAAAGGCATTAAAAACAGTCACAAAGAGAAAAAATGGAACAAAAAAACGATGATAATACCGTCGCTTCTTTGACCTCCTTTCCGACTCAGTGTCTCAACCCGCCCTCTCTCACGAATACAAAATTATACACCGTAGACGTCTGGCTCTTTTATTCTTAATCCCGCTTCAACGATCGTCATTGCAAATGGGGAATATCGGCCAGACAAAATGCATTCGTGTGAACTCAGGGATTTTGAATATTCTATTCAATTAAAATCGACGGATTTTAACCACAGACGTCTCAATTTTTGCTCATGAATTTTCCAACAATCCTTCCGTTAACTGACTCGTAAAATAGATTTTCGAGAAATGAAATATGAGCTTGCGGGGAAAATAAATCGATTCCCCGCCCACAGGTTTAAATTTCGTTAAACATTTAACGAAAATTTATTATTAATTTGAGATGCTCAACATTTGCCGCGAGAGATGGGGGTGAAAGCTTTCGTGAATAAAGAATATTACGAAATTTTGTTTCGTTGAATTCATAATTTTCAGTGTATTCAATTGTAGTTTTCCCTCAATTACAGGGGTTTTGTTCAAGATTAGAGATTTTACTTCAGTTTTTTTTCGGCACACTTATCATTATTAAATGATTGAGTGTTGAATAATTATTCAATGGTGGATTCACTATTAGGAAACATTGAAATTTTATAGTAAGAATTTGAATGCGATTGAGGGGAGAATAAATCATGAAATTTCAAACTTCACTGAAAACTCAATAGAATTCCAAGTTTTCTAAAACGTGAATATCCAGTACTAAATTATAAATTTCCAATTTTCAAGCAATTGGCAATTCAAAAATGTCTTTATTAGTATTTTAAACACAAACGGCTGAATTTTTTAAAATGAATTTTCCAACAATCTTCCCGTTAACTGGCTCGCAAAATCGATTTTCGAGAAATGAAATATGAGTTTGCGGGGAGAATGACTCGATTCCGCGCCCACAGGTTTAAATTTGGTTAAACATTTAACGAAGATTTATTATTAATTTGAGATACTCAACATTTGCCGTGAGAGATGGGAATGATATAAAGAATATATAGAAATTTAATCCCGTTGAATTCATAATTTTGAATTGATTCAATTATATTTCTCCCTCAATTTTAGGGGATCTCAAGATACAAGGTTATCTCGTTAAATCCATCATCTTTCCCATTTCTCATTTTACTTTAGGTTTTTTCACGCACACTTATAATTATTCAGTAATTGCGTGTTGAATAATTATTTAATGATGGCAAGGAAAAACAAAAATTGAAATTTTATGAACAGTTTTGCATAAATTTTCGGGAGAGTGACTTTGACTTCCATTGAGGGGAGAATAAATCATGAAGTTTCAAACTTCACTGGGAACACTATAAAATTCCACGTTTTTGAACAGCTCAAATTTCTAATAAAACATGAATAGTCAGTACAAAACTCAAAATTTTCAATCAATTAACATTGATTCCTATTAATTCCCATCAAATAATTGCAATGGAATTCAGAGTTTTTATTCATTAGTTCATCGAACGGTAAATTTTCAATGACATATTCCCGGAAATTTTAGTAGAACTGTAACTTGATGAAAAATTCAGGCAAAAATTTTGAAGAAAGCAACGGTAACGGAAATCCGATACAAACTAGCTAATGAAAACGTTTCCCTCTCAATAAATAGCTCTTGATATTCATCAAATCGATGAATTCCAGTGAAAGGCAGTGAAAAAATCGCAAAATCCTCAAAAATTGATGAAAGCAATTAATTTTGGAAAAAATTCTTACTGTTGGACTCCGATCCAGGCACATCAGGACACGCCTGATACTTGAGTAATAGTTTACTCTCCTCGGTGCAGCCCTCAGCATGACTGACAGGTTGCGCACACTCTCCGGTCCCTCGATTGTAAGTAAACGTGAAGGGTGGTCCTTGGAATGGACAGGGTATGGGGGTAGGATTCAGCCGGAACATGGTGAAGAGACTGTCGTCTGTCGTCGTCGCCTGGCACATCTCCTCGAGTTTCATCGGCGATCTGTGTCCATATCCAACTGAAATGAAAATTAAAGCAAATCATTAGAGAATATTTCACTGCGCTTGCACTCTCTTTCGTGAGTGAATCAATATGTTTAAATATTTTCGGGTCTGCACATCCACATCAACGGCTTTAATAATCCAAAAACTCTCACCCCACACCAGCGCATAATCGATGAACTCAAGAGACGATTTTCCTTAAATTTTAAAACATGCCCATTATTTCGGGTTCAATAATTCATCCACTGCATAATCGAAAACAGGCTTTGGAATGCCGAATGAATAATTTTCCATCTTCAGTGAATCAAACGATTTTCCTTACTCAGCCGTTCAATAAATCATAATCCATATTTTTACAAATCGGAAAAACTTCTCTTTTTGAATAACAACAAGCTTTATTTGATACTGAGTGGAATTTCTGTGACGATATATTTTAAATTGAATTCAATGATTCATTGAATCAATAACATGATCTAACTCGGTCAAGATGGCATTGGGGAAAATATTTTAAATCATAACTGGAGTCATTTAAAGAATGATTTTTTCAGTCATCGTCGAAAAACCTAAAATCGTAGAAAAAAACCCAATCGTTGAAATGATTAAAATACTTGATTTTCAGGTCAATTATTCTGCGAAAATTCAGAAAATTAATGAAAATTCATGTCATTTTATTTCTGAATATTCATCTTTCGCTGAAAATTCAATCAAGTAAAATTTCCATCTCACTTCCATCGAAAACTTATGAATTTTCGTGAATTCTATTTAAAATTCGGAATTTCATAATCATTTTGTCCCGGAATTCGATTCAATGTCACTCCCATGACATTTAATATTATCTTCCATTAAATTTCAAAAAATTGCTAACAGTGTAGGCCAAAATCGGTTATCCTGATACAAACAATTGGAAATTTCGAATTTGATGAATACAATGGTTTCCATTCGAAAGGAAAATCAATGAAAACGTCAGGAGTAAAGTGCCCGTAACTAGATTGACTTTAAATGGAAAGAAATTAATCATTCTGCATCAATATTTGAATCAACTTCAAACTCTTCAAACTCTGATTAAAATAATATTATTTTTCATACCACATATACTGTTAGAATTTTTCTGAAAATTAAATAATAGTTGCACTTGAATTCTCAATGTTGTAAATGTGAATTCAATTTAAGATCAAATCGTTCATGGAATCTCCCATTCCGGTTAGAAATTCAGGGAAATTGTTGCTCAAATTTTCAAACTATTTAATAATTTTCATCGCCATGTGAACTTGAAAATTGCAATTCCATTAAATATCCATGAAAATACATGAAAATTTCGTGTGAATGAGTGATCGTTAAAAATTTCAAGATTTTTTACTTGAAATTTCAGTAGCAATTTTCCAAAAGTGTATTTATCTCTGGGTGAATCAAACGATTTTCTTCTATCTACCCCCAATAAATAATAATCCATACTCTTCACAACCCAGAACAACTTCTCTTTCAGAATACGAAAATCCCAGAAGATGAGGGGAACAGCGTTGGTTTGGAAAACGTCAGGAATAAAGTCCCAGTGGTTAAATTGAATTAAAATGGGAAAAGGAGAAGTTTCTCCGGTGGGGTAAAAGCGTAGATTCTGCATAGTTGGATGCATTCACAGTGGCAGAGGGCTTCAGTAGAATGAGGTAAAAGGTGGAGGGGTGGAGGGTGAGGGGTGGGTTTTCGTGGGCACTATCTGCTTTGATAATTTATGCATTTTCCAGGGATAATTCCTGTGTATGAAAGATGGTAGCCGCCGGCTTTCCTGGATGGTTTCGTGGGGTAGGATGGGGTCGGAGAGGGAGGGGGAATGGCCTTTGCTCTCCTCCATGAGGCTCACGCTAACGAGACATTAGCGGAACAAAGAAGTTACCCTCTTTCACTCTTTCGTCTTTATTCTTTCCTCTCCGCGTTCTCTTCATTGGCCTCCGTCATTTTGCGCGCAATCGTGAAAGCAACGACTAGTCGAGTATCCATGGGCTTAGTTCTACCATGGGATAACGGGAAATGAGTGAGAGAAATGAGTTGAAAACTTTTTGATGGCTTTTAGGGTTTTTTTTTGTTTCGAGGATTTTTAGTTCTTGGGCGGCTGTCAATGGTGTCATTGGAAAAGGGGGATTTTCGTGGAGGGAAAATTGAAAAGAGAGATTAGCTTTTTACTTGGCAAGTGCTGGGACAGATGATTTTTTGAATCGTTTTGAATTCAATTTAAAAAAAGGAAAATAAAATTGAATGCAATTTTTTTTACGGCGATAAGACTCAAAGATTTGAATCTTGTTAGGCTATTGAATAATGGGAATTTTTAATAGGTGAGGAACTTTGATTTAGTTTAAAAAATTTATAGAAATCGGAAGCGTTTGTGAACTTTTAGATTTTGTAATAAATATTCATGGGAAATTTTTCAGGGAAAAATTAATGAAAAATAAGGAAAATTCAGAGAAATCTGTTCTTAAACTCCAGATTCCTCCGAATTTCCAGGGAATTCCTTAAAAAATTCCTAGGATTCCAAGAATTTTGAAGGAATGCCCTGAAAATTCAAGATAATTTGGCAATAAATATTCATTTTCACTTGAAAATTCATGGGAATTGTGGAATTTACTTGAATTCTCAGAAAAACTTGAAATTCTATTGACTTTTTCGTAAAATTCAGCCAAATTTTTTTAACAGTGTGGATTTTTATGAATTTTCAGCACCGATTTCCTAATTTTTAAAAGATTTCGTATTTTCAATTTCATATTTCCTGAACAATTTTATATAAATATTTAACATTTCATGAAGAATATTGGTTTATTCATTGCTAATTATTATAAAAATCTGAAAATTCCCCATCAGAAAATCCATTAAAAAATCCGAAATCCCAGTATTTTAGTTGAGTTATAAACTCCAAGTTATTTTCAGAAACGTTTCCATCTTTTTTCACCGTTATTCTGTTTTGAATTTCAGAAGAGGATGTTTTCAAAGTATTCGGGTGGTCCGGGGTGTGATAATTTACCGTGTTTGACACGAGTTGAAAAACGTCAGAGAGAGAGACAATCCCACATTCCCGCTCGCATACGTGTGACACCCGGCGAATTATCACTGGCGACGTGTTTGTGGGTTAGTTGCGTTCTCGTCACTTAACATGTCACCCGCAATCGTCAGAACGATCGTAAACACGAGGAGAAGTGTTACCAGTGTCTTCGGATTAGAAATAATTTCGCTGCTCTTAAAATGATTGCATTACACTGTTGGCAACAAGAGTTGAAATAAAACTCTCGATGTCACTGTAAAACAGTTCAAGTTTTAATCTCATTACTGAAAAAGAAATGCAACATTTTCCATTAATCTTTATCAAACTCAATTGACCCAGCAGAAGCAGAGTGAAATCACAAATAAAAATGCAAATTAATTCCAATGCTTTAATTATTTCTCACGACTGCTCGATGTGAATTTCCATGAAGAGCTGAATGAAGAAAAAATTCATTTGAACTGTGAATAACCGTGGATCACGAGTGATGCCACTAATTACTCAAAGAATGCAGCGTCTGTATCAATGGGACTGGAGAGACCACTTGAAATGTAAATAATTTAATACTTCATCGTGAGCGCGGAATTTTGTAAAATACAAAAAAGCATTATATATGTATAATAGTTCGGCGTGAAGGGAATGGAAATAGAGACAGTATATACAAGGGCTATTGTTTCTGTTTGAAGCAAGGACTATGATTACCCGACGACCGCCGGTGGCTCCATTCGCAGCCCTTTGAGATGCAAATGCTAATTGAAATGTAAAAGTTGGCGACCTATATCGGCTACCTCCGCCTGGCGCGAGAACTCCAGTTCCGATTTTCATTCTTTCGTTTTTTTCCTACCTCTCCCCTCCACTGTGGATTACCTTCCGCCCTCCGCGTCCGAGAAAAATCGCCTCAATTTTTTTTTCAATGTTTTTTTCTTCACGTTCTCTATCTTGCCCCTTGGGCACTCTTGCCTGTCTGTCTTCGTTTCTTTTCACTTTTTTTTCAACATTTTTTTCTCTTGCCGGTTTTCTCTCTCGGAGCTACCCCTTGGAATTCTCAACGCCTTCTCGTTATTTCCAGCAAGTTGAAGCTTTTAGAAAAATCTGAAGAATCAACGGTGAAGTATTCTTCGATGGAAACAATTTATTGTAGAATTTATCTGATATTTTATGGATGGAGGGATGAGCTCAATGGGGGGCATTGATTATTGAGTAGGAGTGTAATTCTTGAAACAGTTTAAATGCATTATTGACAGATTTATTTTTTATTTGTTGTTTTTTCGATAAAAACGATTTCTTTTAGAATTTATTGGATATTTTTATGGATTGAGGAATTAGTTCACTGGTGGGAGGGGAAATTGATTATGAAATAAAAGTATTGATTATAGGTTTATTTATAAATTCAGATGTGAGTGGAGATGAAAGACTTTTTTGTTGAAATATGCTCGACTGCGGCGAATAGAAAGCGCTTGATTGACAGAGATTTTCAACGGAATGTGATAATTCTCGTTCAGTGTATCCAACTAAGTAGTTATTTTTAATGAAGAGCTATAATTTATTTGAATAATTTTAATGAACTGTTAACAGAGATTTTTTATTTTGCATTCCTTTTTTCGATAAAAATAATTTATTTGAAAATTCATCTATTATTTTTTAGAATAAAGGAATTATTTTAATGGAGAAAGAGGGGAAATTGATTATTGAATAAGCGTATTGATTATTGGTTTATTTATAAATACAAATATAAGTGGAAATGAAAGATTTTTTTTTCACAAAACTTTTCAAAAAAAAACTTGATTGACTGAGATTTATTGGTTATGGAGCAAAACTTGCGATTTTTTTCAGAGTCAAAGCAACAATAATTTATTTGAATAATTTGAATATTTTAAATAAATTATTGACAGAAATTTTCCCTTTTGTATTCATTTTTTTTCGATGAAAACAATTTATTTTAGAATTCTCCTGTTATTTTTGAGACTAAAGGAATGATTTTACTGGAGAAAGAGG